TACTCTCGCAAGGCTGCTTATATTTTGGCTTTAACTTTTCGCTAGCCGATGTTTTATCTGAGCCAACTTAATTTAGTTTATTCTATGTGTAGCTATAGACTACGTTTCGACTGAACTTTTATTTTGTTAATTTAAATATAAACAACTAATGGAAGTTTCATCTGTAGCACAAGCTGTGCCTCTCAGTTTAAGACTAAATAAAACAGTTATTTTAACCTTTGTGGTTTAAGATGTAGCGACAATTCGCTATTAGTTAGTAGGGTCTCATGACTTTAGCTTCTACTTACAACAGAACACTATTGTAAACTACTCTGCAAAATCTAAGCAGCAGTTAGAACATTGGTAGTTCGGTTCGAGGTTCGAATCCTGCGAACGAGCTGGCTGCATGGGCGTTTTCGTGATTTTCCCATGTGTAACGTGTATACGAGCCAGTTTCCCCGAAGGCATCCATCCCTTTAGGCAAATAGCCCTCGTATGCTTTGCCATAATTGAATAATCCTAATTCTAAGCAGCAGTTATTCAAAATTGATTACACTGCAATTATCTATAAAGGGTCGTTACTAGCAGTCTTTTGAAGCTCAGTAAGCAGTTATCTTCGATGCGTTGTATTTTATATTCATTTAATATCATTTCTATTTGTTTTTCAATTTATGTGTAATTTCTGACTTCTTAGGGAAAGAAAAAATTGTCTGTTGTGGCTTATTTAACATTTTTTAAAATGAGGCAAACAGCATAAACTCGTTAAACAGCCGTCTTTTTCATGGGATAAAAGGCTAAACTAAAAGCATATGCTATAAGGTATTTCTCCCGCCTTCTAAGCATGCCTTCGTAGTGTAGTGGTCTGCACGCTGGGCGCGTATTCCAGAGGTCCGTGGTACAATTCCCGGCGAAAGCCTTGCTCATTTTTCATCTCTTCTGCTTCAAAAAAACTTGTCTCTACAATGTCAGAAATTTCAAGGCTACACATTTTGGGAATGGGATTGATAATGTTTTTTCCTATCACTTCGTTCAGAGCTCTCCTTCAATTAAAGAACAGAACATGCACGGCCCGTACATAATAAGAGGGAAGATCTTAATCAAGCATGCACAAATGGCATATCCATTTGCATTAAATTTGTTTATTGCATCCGGAAGCTTTATTAAGGAGGGTTTTGTGTTTATTTAACTTTTTATTTTGCCTTAAATTTATGTTTTTTTCCAACCCAGATGTCAGTTTATGTATTTAAAGCAGTTAACACTATAAGCACAGATTTGTTCAGTTCAAAAGCGAGCTTTTGGCAGCTATTGCTGATCGTCTTGCTATTACTTGTCCTAGACACTGTATAATGATGTAAATGTGTATGCTTGTATAAAAGCTCAGAATATTTACTAAAATGAACACATGTACACACGCACATACACGAAAAATTCACTCAGAAATTTCATCAGTACTCACAATCTTTTATTTATGACAGAAACATTAAATACAATATTTACAAACTAACAATACAGTCTCTTAAACCATTCAGCAACTTTGAAAAAGTTTCATCGAAATATTTATATTTACATGCTTCTTACACAAGCGTGTGTAACCGAATTTTGAAAAGGAACTTAATACACATATATAAATTAATACTTAATAGTAAGTGCTAATAAAACTTGTAAATAGCACTAATATTTTTAGTTAAATAATTCAATTTTCCTTCTATTTTACATTTAATTTTCGTTCATACATCTAAACAACTAGAAAAAAAATGCAGTAACACTTTTATTCAGCACTTATTTACAGTAGTAAAAAAATTATTCTTGCAATTATGTTAGAATAGAAAAAAGCTTTATATTTGGTTTAGATAGGACAATTTTCTATTTTCAGACTAAATGCAAGAACACAAGGGAAAAGAAGGAATAGAAAAAAAAAAAAAAAAAAAAAAAAAAATCCATGTATATCAACAATTTTTTTCTTTCTTATGATTAAGATCATTAAAACAATTTTATTCCATTTTATAATTACAGTCAGCAAGAAAAATATCTTTTAAAATGAATTTTGAAAAAAAATTTAGACGTATTGTAAAGAGAAAATTTTCTAAAGAGATTTCGTATACCTTACAAGGGGGGGGAGGAGGATTAGCAACGATTTTATTTGAAATGGGACTGATGCCCATATCCTTTCATCTAAGTTTCAAATTTCATGCATATGGAAAAGAATACATTCAGTCTGATTGAAACACAGTTACCAGTTTTGTATTACTAAAATCTGTTTTTTACTTTAAATCACATGAAGAATAAATATAATACTTTTTTATTGTCCGAAGAAAACATAGCTACAAAGTAATTAGCACTCTTGTAACTTAAATTCTAAATAAATCGTAAAACATTACTCTAACACATAAAACTACACATTTTAAATTTAATTAAGGAAGATAATTTTCTGTTCAAACGTTTCTGGAAATAAGATCAAAATTCAGAATGACTGCTTTTAAACTGCAAAACATTTTTCCCAAATCAAGATTACAGTTTAAGCATATCCCCTGGGAACTGGTGACCTTATATCTTAAAGAATAGTGGAGAATACTTTTCAACAAAAGGATCACTAAATTTACAGTTAAATTCTCTTAAAACAAAAATGTTCCGTTCATTTCTTATTTTTTAGGTTACAAAAGTTGGAAAACTAGCTAAGAATAAAACTTTTTTTGTCATCCCCCCAGCCCATAACTGAAAGATTCGATATTGTATAATAGTGATAACATTCTTGATTATAAAAGTACTTTTCAACTCGACTTACTCAGGTCCTGAAATTATAGTCATCATAACATTTACCTGGCATCGATCTAAAGACTACTATAACTATAATTTTGTATTTAAACCCAAATATTCCGAATAAAATATACAAACCGAATAAATATATAAAAATCATAAAAATGACACTTTTTTGGAGATTTTCAAATGAAAAGCTCTCTAAATTCCATGTTTAATACGGAGGCTGTTCGCACATTTTTTAGACGATTTTTATTCTGTTTACAGTTAGTTCTATTACGTGGTTATGAGCCAGGTTAAGCCATGCAAAAAACGCGGAAAACCACGATGTTCCTACTCGGTCGTATGGGAAAACTAAAGTGGACAACAGCAAAACTCTTCCTGACAAAACACGAGGCGTCTAACACCTCAAGAAAGAAAAAACCAAACTTGGATAGTATTTCTGCTACTCTTATGGATATCTTTAATGTTTTTAATGAAGTAAAAAAAAAAAAAAAAAAAAAAAAAAAAACCTTGCTGAATAGTCAATACTTGACGTTATTAAAACGATAACGGGCGGGTTAGGAGATTTTGGGAAGCATCTACTGTGATTTACTTTTTAAATTGTTACTGAGCCCTTTTAGATTTCCACTGATCCTTCTATGTTGTATTTTACGGTTCTTACTCATCAATCACCAGTTCGACGGCTGTGTTTTTCTGATCATCTGTTATTTTACTAAGCTTGTAGGTTTATACCCAAGTACATAAATGTTTCTCTTAACGAATTCTGCAGTGCGTTTTGCGATATCTCAAGGAGAAAGACGACGCACATTATGTTTTTCGCCTTTTTAAGATTCAAATCAGCATTAATCACTTTGCTTACTCAGTATTTTAATAATTTTTAAACTACCCTTTGACCTCGAGGATTATCTTTTGAAATTAAAGATCTTACCTTTGCGACATTCGAAACATACCATGTTTTTTCTTGGATATATATTTCGAATAATTTTTCCATTTTAAGCCAAATTTTGAAGTTATTTTCCTTTCTTGTTCATAATGTTACCTATCGCAGATTTAGATATTTATAAACCATACCCTTTCACAGCTTTTTTTAATAACTAGATAAGAATAATTTTCTTTGGAAAGAGCATAATCGTAGCATTCCATCCATGGCTTCTTTAAAACCGCCATTTTACGTGAAAACAAAATTGTCAAACAGCAGACGATAATTTATACTTTCAAACATATAGCTGCAGTTAAAAAACAATTTTTAAGCAGCCTTTTTTTAATAGCAAAGCAAAATCGTCTAAAAAGTGTGTAAATAGCCTTTATTAAATAATGCAAATATTATCACATTACTTACACAAAAATTTTGAAACATTAAAATATCATATTGGAATGCAAATTTTTCCATACAAAAAATGAAAAATATAGAACAAAACAAACATAGCAATTGCACGATTTACATTATTACTTTTTATCCTCTTCGCTCCCAGCGTATTAAATGTGATTCGAGAGCGAAGTATCACTGACCGCCCACCATATCATGTATGATACGCTAAAACAGAGTTTTATTTCAAATTTTAAATACGTATAAATTAAGTAAGAATACTTCAAAAACTTACTGAACAGAATCTCTAGATTATTAACATTACTGTGATGAATATTATTTATTATTTTATTCAACAAAAGTAAAATGCGCATAATTTAGAAAGGTTTCACACAGTGCAAACAAATTTTTGAAGATAAAAATGGCAGTAGGATATAATAAGCATTACTGTTCAAGTTCTTATGGTTTTTTTTTTTTTTTTTTGATTAATTATTCTACAGAAATGATTTAAATATGGCAATATAATCATTGTTAGTCGGTCACTTTTCAAATTGTTGCCACCAAATATTAGAGCCCTGTATCATATTTAAAGAAATTAAGTAATTGAGAATCTCCATGCATGTTTCTCGCATTGTGATAAAACAACAGTACCTAGAGCCATCAAATTTTGAATAACATACGTTTCCACCCAAATATGGGCCTCTGGAAACCCAAATTTGGAATTTGTTTTATTGTCAATTTTCTATTTTGTAAAATTTTAACAAATTTTTGGTTAAAAAACTGAACGATTTAAAAGCGAGCAATGGAAACAGTGTACGAAAAAAAATTATCTCCAGTGCGCGAGACTGAGTATTGGAAATTTTAAAATTATTTTGCGATATTGCTGTTGAACCAAGTTTTATGGTTTAAGTGCGAACAACATGATATTTAATCAATAAAGATAACACACAAAATGTTTAAAAAAACTCCCTTTTGGGTGTAATGTCAAATCTGAAAAGTTTCAGATTTTTTTTTTTTTTTTTTACTAATATTGCAATTTAAAACTTATTCTAAATTTTCACATTATTTTTAAATATTAAGATATTGTGTTTATATTATGATAAACATTATTAAAGTCACATATGCAAGACTCCAATTATTTAAATACAAAGCAGATTTTATAGGAATTACGTGCTCCTGCACACAGTGACGCTCAGCGCTCGCAGATCAAGGCGATATGAGGAAACTTCGTTTGCTCGACGTTGGAAGCGAAGAGGTTAAAACTCACATTTTACTTTTGGACCAATCTCTTAAATAAAATATTACATTAAATTGTAAAGTTATATGAACGTATATGATAAAGATAATATAACACTGCTAAATTTTTTTGCTGCAAATTAGTAAATGTTAAATTATCTTGCAAAAAAACAATAATAATTATGTTACATTTTCAGACTGTAATGAAACTAAATGAATTAATGCACAAATAGAATTGCTCTATAAAATACATTTCTAGTTTTTATCTTTGCCTTTAAATTCTGAGTAGATTTTTGGACTAAAAAATGAAAATTAAAAATTATCATACTGTATGTAGACTAGGGGTCTTCAACCCGTGGCTCGCTGAGGGCATTTTAGTGGCCCCACATTTAAATTTGAATAAAAATTAAAGAATTTTAGGAAAATTGCCTTGTCAGCTTTTGGTCTTTAAAAATTTCTTTTTTTCTCTTATTCTTGATATTTAAAACATTTTATTGACATGCTTTATATTATTTGAGATAAAATTTTCTGAAAATGACGAATTCTTCAAAAATTTCACTTTATCTTATGCAATATTAAAAGTAAAAAGTTCTCAATTCCATAAAAAGGTTAGATTCTTATTTCTAACAGGTTTGCAACAAATGTCAATCTTTCGTCAATAAATCCAAATGCCAAAGGTGATCTTGAGCGTGTCGCTACTATAGAGGGGAGCGAGAATAAATTAACATAATTCTGTTTCTCCTACCCATTCCACATTTTAAAATTCAGAAGCGTTTATGGCCTTTAAATGAGTACACAATGGCAAGCCGTGATAACAAAAAAGAAAAGTTGAAAGAAAAGTGAGGTTATTTTCAAAAAAAGTGGTTGTACATAAGGGTAAGGCAGTTTGCCTTATTTGCAATAACAGTGTAGTTGTGATGAAGGAATACAACATGTGAGAAATAGTTTACATTGGAAGGTCATTTTCGAAGTGATAAGGTGAGTGAATTTACATCAAATTAAATTTTCAGAAGCCTTTCTTCATCACATTGAATAAAAAATCTGAAAATAGTGTTCGTGTTAGTTACATGATAGCAGGAAAAATTGCTAAGCATGAAAAACCCTTTGCTGATGGAGAATTCGTAAAAGAATGTCTTAAGAGTGCAGTTGATGTGCTTTGCCCATCACAGGCTCCAGTCATATCAAATATTATCTTGTCTGGTGTGACAGAAGCAAAACGCACAGAGGATCTCGCAACAGATATATTCAGTAAATTAAAATACATATAAAAAGAATTGAGTTTTATTCTGTAGTGATGGATGAATCAACAGATACTGCACAAGTATCCATTTTTATTCGTGGCGTTGATAGACTTCACAAATGTAGAGGAATTAGCCAGTGTCTTTGCACTTAAATGTACAACACGAGGAACAGTTTTTATTCGAATCTGACACCAACTTTGGATGAATGTGAGTTATACTTCAGTAATATATCTACTATAACTACGGATAGCGCTAACATATGATTGGAGAGAAAATACGAATAACAACATTATTCAAATCTGATGTGAATGCAAGTGGAAGTAATAATATGATGACTTTCCACTGCATCACCTACCAAGAAAATTTGTGCAAGAAGTCCTTCACAAACTTTGAACATGTGATGAATATTTTTGTTTAAGTGGTTAATTTCATTCGGTCAAAAAGGACTTAATCACAGGTAATTTCACCAGTTCTTGAATGATCTGGACGCTGAATATGGTGATGTTGTGTATTATGCAGAAGTACGTTTTTTGAGCAGAAAAAAGATAATTCGGTGCCTGTTTTCTTTGAAGATCGAAGTTCAACAATGCATGGAATCTAAGGAGAAAATTTATTCATGAGTTCAGTGACGAGGAAATGGTTGAGAGATTTGCATTTCTTGTCGATTTTACAGGTCATCTCAACTTACTACTGCTTACTGGGAAAAGATCAACTTGTTCATAATATTTATTACTTTGTGAAAGATTTTGAGACAAAATTAATCTTGTGGAAAAAACAATTGCTAAATAATATTCCACTCACTTTCCGAAATTGATGGAGTGTGTGAAGAGCTCTACAACGTAGAACTCCAATAATTATATACAAAGCATTTCAAATTTGAAAGAGGAAAGCAGATTTTCTGTTTTTTGTGAAAATGAAATTTTTATGAGAATGTTCTCCTTGCCATTTTTAGTAGACGTTGGAAGTGTTCCAAATGAACTTCAATTAGACTTTATAGATTTACAGAGTGACTCTGCAGTAAAATGTAGGTTTGTTTGAAATTCTACATTAGTTGATTTTTATTCAAAGTACGTGATTGAAGACAAATATCCAGGAAGTCGTAAGCATGTACTCTTCATGTCTCTTATCTTTGGCAATGCCTAGATATGTGAAATGCTTTTTAGTAAAATGAAAATCCTAAAATTAAAAACAAGGACACGGCTGACTGACAGACTTTTGGGGAAAACTTTACGAACTGCAAAACACAGATTAAACTGGATATTGAAGCTTTAATGAAGCAAAACCAATGTCAAATTTCACATTAAAACTAAATGTAACTACTATCTCCCGCCAGCAATGTTAGTTTTTCTTTCTTTTTTTTATAATAAATGCATTTTGTAACATCGTTCTGTGCAATCATCTTTATATTTTTTTATTCATAGTTAAAAAAAGTTGCAAAGCATTTTATTTCGATTTCCATTTGACTTTTTTGGAACCAATGTATATATATACAAATTTGTAACATCATCTCTTCGCTTAGAATCAATTGTAGTCTTGCAAAACAAACCTACCTTTATTATGTACATTTTCTGACTACACTACGTTTTGACAGATATGTGGCCCACGGATCTTTGTGAATTTATTGATGTGGCCCTCGGGTGTGAAAGGTTGAAGACCCCTACTGTAGACTATAAATGCAGTACTTTAATGATAACTTTTCAGCTACTTAATTTTAGATATCTGGTACAAAACACTGTTATAATCAGCTACATTTTTAGAATTATAATGTGATGAAATGAAATTAAAGAATGTATAAAAATCTGATCATAACTGACAAGTAATTAGTTTGATATAAAAGCAAGCAACAGAAACGAATACAATGCCTTATATAAAGATACATTCATAAACTGGAAAATAAAAGTCTGCTATGTCAAGCAAATTAAAAAAAAAATCTACATGCTGTTTTGATTTTAAAGTAGCAATGAAAAATGAACAATAATTTATTTATGAAAAATAATGTAACTGATGAAATGAAGATTTGAGATTCTGTACAAATGATATGCTTAAAAATGAAATTCTAGATTAGATATCATAAAGTATATAATGTACAAATATTAAAAGTTATCAGAGAGACTCCTAGTCACTCTTAATACATACAGCTCATATGCAAATCATTCTTTTCGGCTGATCTCAGTAAATATGTCCGCTATTAATTATCTCTACACCACGATGAAAGGAGATGATAAAAATAAAAATGGATGAAATTTGACAGAGCATAGCATGAAGATAGTTTTCAACTAATTTTCCTTGCTGGGTTTTTAAAACAGCACATCTGTCATAGTAACAAAAAATATAAAAAGCATGAAATAATACATGTTATGCTGTACAGATAGTATTTCATCTGAGATTGAATCATTCAAATCCTTCAGCTGTAGGAAAGACATTTTCCATTCATATAACAGCAAAATACAAGAGAGTTCAAATCATCATATTTTGCAAATCAAACACCATACTGAAAAAATATGAGAATAACAGAAAATATTTACTCATTCTTTTTCACTGTGATTTCAAATGAAAATTTATCCCCAAGTTATTTGCCAAAAAATACACAGTTGAATGCATTTACAAAAAGTTTTTTCATACTCAGTTACGTAGCAAAATTTCATCATTCAAGCACAGCTACAGGATTTAAAAAATAAAAATTATTTATTAACATGTTCAAGCCAAATTCTATCGGATTTTTATTTTTCTTCAAGGCGTGAGTGATGAATAAAATGCGATGAAATAAATAAAAAGAGAAGCAAGATTGTAAGAGTGGTTGTTGCGTCAACATTAATCGTCTTCTCCTGAGCTACTATTCTCGGGTGTTTCTAAGATGGGAAAATCCAGTTCAAGATAAACCTAAGAATACAGAAACACATATATATATATTAATATTTGACTTTAAATATATTATTTGCATATCATGTAAGTAACCGATTTTGCCTATACATCATTCTATTCACATTAATGATTTACTCCATTCGCTGCTAAAAAACTGTTGGAAAAAATAATTTCTTTCTTAATATTTTTTTAATAACCACTTTCTAAAGAAAAGCATATGTAACTAAAAGGCAAATTAACAATATTTTTAGAACCTGTAAAATGAAAGTATAGAGAAACTGAAGAAATTTCATTACTGATAATGTTAACAATTTTTCTTCAAGATAACAGTCTTTCTCTGTATAGTGAGTTACAGATTTGCTAATCTCAACTCGTAAAAATATTATGTATATATTTTAAAACATTTCGTGAGTTTCTACACTACTTTATATTATAATCCCAAACTATTGGAACTGTAAAGGCAGTTAGATGACTTACATTCCTGTCTTACCTTCTGAGTACAGTGATCACTTTTAAAGTGAAGGATTAATTTATTAATACATAAACCTGAAGGTTACACAAAACTAATAGATTAACAGAAATTAACTCCAAATTTTTCGAAAATTGCTAAAAAACATTCAAGCTAAATTAAATTATGAAATATAAATTAACAGGTTCATAAGTAAAATTTGGCTCAGGCCCTAAGTATTTTATGAAGCAAATGGGCTTACCGAAGCTAAAACTGTTAATTCAGGAAGCAGAGAAAAGTAAACAAAGTAGCATATGTAATTTAATATTTTCAACAAAAAGGTTTCCTCTTAAAATAAATAAGTATTTTAAATAAACAAGTCATAAAAAAGTACTGGTTGAGCTTGCCATAAAAGCATATGTTCTTTGTAAGGAGACCAACTTTCCTTCATGAAACTACGATTACAATTATTTTTAAATTCCTTACTAATCCTATATTCTAAATTTAATAAATGTTAGAGAAAATCACTTAGCTGGAAGATGGTCACCCCATTACCACCAAAATAGTAAGATTTTGAAGTCTTCCATTATTTTTTCTGATGGTGCAATCATCATTTGCAATGCAGTAAAAATCCCTTCACTTGGAAGATATTTTAAGACACTAGTTACTCATTTCTTGGTACTCTGACATTCATCGCAAAAGCTCGTTAAATCTGTAAAACAACTTGGCTAAAATGGAGACACTGTAAATACCCTTTGACAATTTGATGCAACAGGCTCCTCTTCTGTAGCTCATACAATATGGTCAAAGTGAAGAATAGCTTTAGTGAATTTCTTACCAAGTCTCTTCTGAAGTTACAGTAGGGATGTCTAAATGTGATAGAATTTTCATATCTCTCTTCTACAACTAGTGCAATTTTGGGTGAGCATGCTGTTGCAGTTAACAGACCCAAAGCGAAACTGAACTCTAGTATACAAATTCAGCTTTGTGGGTCACAGACAAGGAGACACGGATTTTAACCAAACTGTGAATATTTTCATTTCCATTTACTTAAATAAACAAAAGAATATTTCTATTTTTTCTTTGCATTGCTGTTATCTGTTTCACTGCTGGTCATGAAAATGGAAGTGGTGGAATGAAAATGAACTACTAAATAGAAGCGGAAAATAAGATATTGCTGCTTATGAAATCATTCCCAATAGATTTGGGCTCCATAAAGTTTGTCAAAGATAAAATCCAAAGCAATTTATAGTATAACACTATTGGGTTGCAATGACACCATCTTGTGTGTGTGACTACGCTGGCGACATAAAGCGGAAAATGAAACGCTTGTCGAAGACGAAAAGTCATTCAAACGAAGATGCAAGCGAAGTCTGCGTTTAGCCAATACAATTACTGAAGAGAAAAAATTCACGTGATACTAATAAAAGGTTGCAAGTGCAAAGCGTTTCATCTGCTGTTTAGTAGTTTGGTCAGAAGAGTGTCACATTTGGTTCGTTTTATTGTGAAATTTTGTGTATTAAGCAATTTGACAAAACTGGATAATAAGATTAAACAGTTACTATATGCACAAAGTAAGTTTTAATGCAAATTTAGGGATTTAGAGAAATTGTTTTTAAATATAGTATAAAAAGAGAACTGAATAACTTGAAACACCATCTACCATATAATAAATCACCACTTAATCAACTCCCTTTGGCTTGTTTACGTGTGGATGTCGGAATACGTGTAAAGGAATCAGTATAATAAGCAAAACAGCTTATAACTGATTATAAATTTAAAAAAAAAAAAAAAAAAAAAAAAGAAAAAAAGAATTCATTCAATAAAATTTATTTATTGCAAGTTTAAATTTAATGGACTGTACTTTCACAGCAAAAGATTAAAGTGAAGCTGTCTTTCTGTTAAAAAAAAAAGTAACTATGCCATTTTATGTATGAAGTGTAAATATGTTAAAATATTACATTTTGATCTGTACTGCTTTTAAGCGATTGCTCGTTTCTATTAACTGAAATGCCACCAATTTCTGTATTCATTTTTTAAAATGATATTTCTGAATTAACATATGCTTATTATTAAACACAAATATTTATGCCCTGTGAATATCAGCTCTTTCATTCAAATTTATTCTGTGAAGAGAGGAAACACTTAGGAAAGATGGCTATAATTCTTTAGATATTTTTTATTAAATATGCAAGATATTCAGGGCATGATTGAAAAATTTAAGAAATATTTAAGTTTAATAATGTTTATGTAAGTTTTCTGGTAAGAATATTCTTTATCCCAAACATTCAATGATTAAACTCATTACTTATCGAACCGTGTTTCTTATTAGCATTAAATATCTTTGCAGGCTTAAAACAGAATATTTACTCGTATCATTGGTTGGAAGTTGACGGTTTCGATACTTCCAAATTAATATGCAAATAATTTTTGGTGTATATTTTTGACTTTTGAATTTAGGATGTGGTTCAAACTTTGGATAGTTTATGTAAAATTAGGTACAGAATAAAATATGCAAAGAGGTTTAAAAAAAAGATATAATTTATACAAGAGGTGCAAATATATCATTATATAATGGGTTACTGATTTCTGTGTGCAGTGCACACTTTTAAACTAGAACCGAAAACAATAATAATAGATAAAATGATTCAGGATTAAATATTAGAAACGAGTTTAAAAAAAAGAGGAAAGCTACTGGTAAACCGAAATTCGCACAGGTGGAAAAAATTACAGTGGTTAGAAGCGAGGTCTGACATTTTCACTCGCAATACAGCGGGCTGACCACCCAACTAGCTGTGACAATCTTTCCGAGGGAAAATAATGGAACAGACAGAAGTCGCTGCAACTGTAATTTTATTAATATTCAACAAATGAGTGTTGTATGACCCAGGTTGTAACTGTCCTCGAAAATTTCATAACTAAATTTTATCGAACACTTTCTTAGTCAATTCGTTTATTTCAGAAATTGTCATTTTGTTGAAGTTAGATTTTGACATATTTGATATTGAGATACTTAAAGAGCTTCTTGTTACGCATAAAATTGTGAGTATTAAGGAGAATTTTGTAAGGCATAGGTTTGATTTCATAGAAATTGTTATTCATTGAAGTTCTTACTGCTTATGGTGTCCCATACAAGGTGAAGAATATGGTTATATCGGTAGGATCACAGCAGTTTGTTTTTCCCCTTTTATGAGAGTTTGAAATTTCTACCAATATATGTTTGACAAAAATGAGGATGCCGTAAACAATGCAGATGATCTTATTAATGTGGGCAGTTACAATATCTTTAAATAAAAATTCATCGCTATGTGATTCCGACGTCATATTGGAAAGTGTAAACACGAATTTTTTTTCACATTATGACACGCGATAAAAACTCAGTCAGCTGAGTGTTTGCTCAAGTCGGTTGTTCACATTGGCTGTTTGCTCATGTCGCGAATAAAAAAGGTTAACACGAGCGAACTCAGATTTATGTCTTCTGCATAATGCGAATTTGAATTGGCAAAAAAAAAAAAAAAAAAAAAGGCGGCAACTGCATCACCAGCACACTCGAGGGGGATGGTCCTTCAGATGATATAAACTGAGGTGATGAAATTTGATTAGCCAGAGAGTAAACAGCAGGATATGAAATGGAAAACATCCACAATCGTCCAGCATCAAAATGTTTAAAAACCAAAATATGCAGGAAAACTAATGAGACTCACAGAGCCCATAACTGGAATATTATCAGGACAGGTGCTCATACATAAAATATATTTGCTACAACGAGAGGTTTATCAAAAAGTAATTTCAAATAGATGCCGAGGATTACTCTCGAAATGCGATCGTTGTATAACAATACATGTCCGCACTGTTGAAACCCCTCCAGAAACTAATGTAATGGCTTGTCCCTTTTTTTTTTTTTTTTAAGTACAATCCTACTTTGCATCTTTTAACTATCACTTATATTATTCACTCAAAGTACCATTAAGTTCCGTCAATTTACATTGTACCAAAAAATGCCTCATGCCTACATCACAGCTCATTCGGAAAGTTCTTTATGGGAGCTTACGGAACCTTGCGAAAACAGCATGCATTAAAAAGTAAAAAAATAATCTCAATGCAAATTTCCTACTTTTACTGAAGTACCCTGCACAGCTACAATATTGAAGGCACCTGCAGATGACGATTATACAATCAGATTAAGTCCGATAACACTTACCCATGATAAAAGTCTAAAATTACTTTTACATGGCAAGTTACAGTTTTTTACAATGCTTCTCTTTATTTTAATACACTACAGCACAGTGATTCCTTAATCGTCAGCTGAAAAGAAACGTTTTGTGGCAACATTCAAACCAACCCTGAATTGGCATGCCTCAAATCCCCACCGTTGCTATAATTTGAATCACATAAATGTTGCTTTAGTTTTTGCTCAGGAAAGCTCAGAGAACGTTCCACCTTGTGTTTCTTCATTTCCGACATCAATACTCTAGGCGTAGGACCTTTAGCTTCCCCTTCTTTTCATCCAGTGTTTTCCGTTTACCTACTTCCATGGCAATCTGAAAAAGTGGCGTTCATCTATTTTCCATCTAGATTTTGACACGGTTCTTTAGTGGCCACATCCACATTCCTGGGTATCTGGAGCATTTGGGAAGGGGACATCTGGAACTTCAAAGGACACTCTTCCCTTTTAGACATGGCAACCCACTTTTTAAGTGTGGCAGAGGAAGTACGATATTATCATAAACTGCAACCATGCGTCCATGAGTACTAATCTGTGCTATGCCTTTTCTTCTCAAGAATTCACTCACCGAACGACGCTTAACAATTTCAATATTAAATTTATTAATGACTGACACCATTTAATAACCCTCTTAAAAATCAAGCAACAATACAAAACACTGTATACTTTTTTTTTTTTTTTTTAAATTTCCAAACAACAAGGAAAAATTTATTTTTAATGTGTTTTGTCATTCCACATATATTGCAACATACTTAAGCTTAGAATTTATTGAACACTCTTCGAATGTTTGTTTGAATACAGAAGTTTTTTTCCTTTTTTGTATTGCATATAACTTCAAAAAATAAGTAATCAGTTCATTGTGTTACTGTTAATCAAGTATTCGGTTCAGAAGCTTACTTTCGGAATAATTAAGATTAATAAAGCTAATATATTTTACTTTCCTCTCTCTCTCTCTCTGGCATACTATTATAAACCTGAATGAATATCTAATAATATGTAGCTAAACACAAAAATTTTCAAATTATGTCTTTAATAATACTCTGAAACATGCAGTATGAGATAAACATAAAAATAAAGCATGTCATAATTAATGACAATAAACGAGTTAAGATTATTTAATGGAAATAGCTGATTATTGCAAAATAGAAATAAAACATTACCCTTTCTAATGAATCAAGGAGTATCGAATCTAAAATTCTTGCAATTTCGGTAAAAGTAGGACGATCTACAGGATCCTCTAGCCAACAATGACGCATCAGCATATATATATCCATAGGACACTGGTCAGGTTTGTCCAGTCTATGTCCATCTTTCAGTTTTTGGTAAAGCTTTTCACACGGAATTGTTGGATACGGAGTACCCCCGAGTGTGAAAATTTCAAACAGCAATATTCCAAAAGACCACCTGCACGATTGAAACATAAAACACGTTATTACACTTTTAAAAGAAAACAAAAATTATTGAATAACTAATACAAACTAAAACAAAGGAAAATTGCTTTTTACCTTCTGAAACTAAATAGAATAGTAAGGGTTGAAATTGTAAGGGTGGAAGGGTGGATGGAAGACAATCAATGTTAAATTACACACAGAGAAAATTAACAGAATATTACATGTTATAATGAGTAATCTATGTAAATTAAAATTTCGTTCATTTGGAAGTGAAATACAGAACTCGTCAGTTAATATGATCTCGCCAATCATTTGTAGAAAGTATAAAAATAATCGAATGTTATGAAAAAGGAATTTTATATTAAATTTTTTGCTAATAATAATAATACATGTGTGCAGTAATAAACGCTATGCTGAAAAAAAAGAGGAAAGTATTTATAATGGACCATTTACATTACTTTCGTAGCACATGGTGATATTTTTTTAATATTTAATCTACATTTGAAATGCGGCTGATATCTGCAGACCTCATAACACAAAATATGTAACGCTGAGAGCATTCATTGTGTACTGGTGGAGATTTCGAGGGTGCTTCAAGCGCAGTTTGCTTTTTTTCAGCGATTGTTATTTTTCGCTGTGAACTGAGAGTGAAACTTTGTACTGAACGTAAGGTTTAGCTGCAATGTCTTTATCAAATGCTATCCAATATCTGTATTCTTACAAAGGAAAATTTTACTTCTTCAGGTAGGTCAGATAGACACGCCATTTCTCTTAGAAATTCTTTTTATTGTATTCACCATAATTTTCCATGATTCCATGAAAGGTTCAAAGTGTCCAGAAGATTTACAAAAACAAGCAAACCATTCATTCATCTACAGCAACAGTAAACGTTAACCATTTTTTAACCACGTTTTTGCTTTTCGACGCATTACTGAAACAAATGAAAGTGCCAAACAAATATTGTTTGATATTACCTGTCCGAGTACATAGACATGTAAAAGAACAATTCATAACTCTGTGTTTTGGCATATTAAATGCCTTATTTTCTTTCTAAAATATATAGTCATGTCTATGAAAAAGTGAAAATTACTTTCAAATTCACTAATTCAAATATTTTTTTCTAAACTCTTTTGGTTGAGATTTTACTGTAACTGTACGCTTGTTTTACTGTTCCCTTTTATAGTTCTAGTCTATTTTATAAGGGGCCCATCAGCGGCCGAGCGGTAAAGTCGCAGAACACTGGTAGTTCGGTCTGAGGTTCGAATCCCGTGAACGGGCTGGCTGCATGGGCGTTTTCGTGGTTTTCCCCATGTGTAAAATGTATACGAGCCAGTTTCCTTGGAAATCCTCCACGAAGGCATCCTTCCCTTAGGGCAGATAGCCCTAGTTGCTTTGCATAATTAAGATAACCAAACTATTTTAAGGCATTTTCTCCCCCTTCCAGATGACTTCATGGTGAATGGTGCAACTCGGCGTGTATTCGAAAGGTTCAGGTTCGAGCCTCTGAGAGACTCTGCACATTTTTCACACCTGCTTCAAAAAAAAAAAAAAAAAAAAAAAAAAAAAAAAAAAAAAAGTACTGACTCTACACTTCTTAATTTAATTAAGATATTCATGTTTTCCTATTTTCGCACTAAGTAGAATCTGTTGGAAAACTTTTCCAGCATTAAAATATTATATACATTATATGCATTAAGTGAAAATTTAACAAGTCTCAAAGCTTAGCTTACTGTTAGTCCCCTTTCCGTTACTGAAATATCAGAATGACAATGAATAATATGAAAAAACTATGAATGTAAATTATTGTCCAAGGAGATTGATAATAACTGTTAATCGGAAAATCTTTCTAAAGATTTATTTATGAAAAGCAGTATGAAATTATTCACTTAAAATACGATGGAAATTAATACTTACTCATAATAGACTGGCAGGCAGATAAGAATATAAAAATAAATAATTAGAAATATTCATACTTAAAAGTTTCTAAAAAAATTAACTCATAAATTTGAAATAAAGTTATTTTTCAATCATGTACAATTTGGTGATACAAAGTACAGTGCAAAGTCCGAAACTCGGCCGTCCAATATCTGGACGTCAGGACCAATAGCTTAAATAAATAAATAAAATAATGTAAAAATATACCCCTTATAAAGTCTAGGAATGAAAAATACAGTACTCAACAAAATGAAGTGGATATAACGTAAATGTGATTTTCCCCGAACTGAGATTTGTGCGAACTACTTTCAAACAACTGCTAGTCTCATCGTGACTAATGTCGTGACCACACTAATTGACGTTGTAATGATGTTGGTGAGAATTACAGTTTCGACCTCTGAGTGGTTGTGGGCATTTTACTTGGAGGTTAGCATTTTTCTAGCTGACCTAAAGAATAAGTGAAGTTCCTACGTTACCATGTCTACATGTCATATTGCTAGATTTAAAGTGATGGTCTAAAATCCAGAATCACAGAAGTCCTGACTTTTCCGAATCTCAGTCTTTGCACTGTAGTGATTAGTGAAGGAAGATTAAATAATTCAATTCAAAAATTCAATTCCTCAATTGAATTGAGGAATATTCATATAACTTTTAACACAGAAACTTTTATACATCTAAATTTTCGTAAATTTAATTCTAAATAGACAAAGTCTCTTGCGAGTGATGCAGTGAACTTCTTGCATACTGATATTTTTCGCACACTCCTATTTTTTTTTTTTTCCTTTAACAAAATGAATACAAAGTTATGATATCACAGCCATTGCGAGGTAAAAAACTTCAATTCAAATATTAAAAGCATCAAAACTGATTAAAATAAAGTAAATTACCAGTTTATTGATAACAGCATGTTTGTAACAATATGAGTATTGGGTACGAAACACATATTAGGGAAGCAATAGATGCGTTTATGCCACACAGTCTCAGCAAATGTCTAATATGCATATAATTTGGATACTAAACTGACTCAATTCATCCATATTTGTGCCCATTTTTCCTATCTGTTTTGCCTAAATATCATGTACCCTTTAGTTTTCGTAGATCTAAAGTAAGCTGGCAAAACGGGATATTACAAGTTTGTGCCTTCTCTCCGCACCGTCTCTTCATCACAATAAACCCAAGGCTCCGCTTGAAAAATTCTGTTATATCTGTTATCAGAGCTAAATTTCAAAACCGCGACATACACTACCCGACATTAAAAATGCAGCAGTGCCAGTAATGCCTCTTTATTTTATTTTATTTTATTTTTGTTATTCCAGAGTCCCAATACTGTTTTTACCTTAATTTTGTATTTAAAGCATCTCATTTATATTTTAATTTTATTTATTGTGATAGATTTAACATAATATTTAAACACAGGAAATGATAATAAAGTATTTTGGTTTGGAATAATATATGAATTTGGTCACTAAATACAATACCGAACATTGAAAATGAAACACAAAGTAGGGGTGACCAGAAAGTCATGAAACTCGGGAAACAGAGAGGCAGCAACGAACATCAAGTGATCTTCATTTCCAAATGATGTCCCTGGACGGCTATACACAAAGTAACACGTCTAGGTACAGAGTCAATGACACTACGGATGGTGTTCTGAGGAATGGTTTTTCCATTCCTTGTCAATCATTTGCCACACACAGTTCGTCGGCAGGGTTTGCAAATAGCGTCCAATCATATCCTAAATGTATTCGATTGGTGAGAGATCAGGAGAAAAAGTCGGCCAGGGAAGCATCTGTACAACTTGCAGAGTAAGTTGGCTGATGCGAGCAGTGTGTTGTCGGGTATTATCCTGCTGGATAAAGGGCATTGGGCATTCTCTCAAGGTAGGGGAGTGTCACAGGCCGCAGCACATCTTCCACGTACCGTTCGCTCCTCGTAGTGCCCTGAATGCGAACTAGAGGTGACTTGGAATGGTACACAATTGCGCTCCAAACCATGATGCCGCGTCCTCGCACGGTGGAGCGCTCCACAATTGCTGCCTGATTGGACCTGTCTCCACATCGACACCACACTAGTACGAGGCGACTCTTACTGAAGAAACAGAAGAGTGTCTTGTCTGAGAACACGACTCTGTGCCATTCCGTCGTCCACATCGTTCGAACTTTGCACCATTGCAACGTTGGCGTCTATGATGTGAGGTCAATAGCAGACTTTATAACTGATGCCACGAGTGCTGGACAATAGCCACCAACCGACGGCAAAAGGTTCTTCTCGATGTGGGAACATCCAGGGAGTCTTGAACATGCTACAGGATGGAGGTAGAAGTGGCTTGCGGGTGCACCCAGGTAGAAATGGCTTGAGCGTGCGCCACCGCTGATTGGTAAATGTGTCGATCCACGCGTGATGACGCCATTCTGGTTGTACCGGCACCCCTCAAACTTGCCACATTTCCTTCTTCCAACTATCGTCGCCAAATAGGGTGCACTACGAAGGCGCCCAGGTGTGCGCCGTAAAGATTTCCCGTATGGACCAACCTGGCTTTCTCAGTCTGATTACCATGCCCCTCGTAAAATCGCCTGTCCGTTTTAACTGCCTCCGTTGACGATGGCTTGGCATTCTTTGCTATTACATGCGTCCTCTGAGACAAAAATAAATTTTCTACGATGATTTCCTTAGCAGAAGTAACGCACGAAAATTGAACATCTTGCAGGTTCTTTCCCTTATAGCTTCTTCAACGCGCGCTTTAGAGCTGCACATTTCACATAACTCGGTGACATACGTCCACCCTGAAATTTGCATAATTTCGGAATACTTTTTCTTGGTGTTGCATTTTCAATGTCAGGTGGTGTATGTCAGATAATCGTTTCAGTTGTTAGCTCAAGTCGAACACCGTGAACATGTCCTTTACATTGTGCATATGTAGAGCACTTGGACAGTATACTCCAACTTGTACGTATAATGAGAATTATGTATATAAGCGGTTAAGAAAAATAAAGGCAATTCCTGTAACATAAAAACTGAATCCTTTAATTTACTTATCTTGCTAGAAAATTTTCATGATTTCTCAATTCAAAAGATTATGCCTAAATTTCCCATAAAATACATGCATGAAATTGTCTACACAGTTCATCTGTTTTATTTTCAGCTAATCGTGTTCTGCAGTTTTGATTGAATGGTTCTACAGTATTGATTATAAGCAAAAATTTTGAAAATATTTTTAAAAAGCAGAAAAATCATTCAAAAATATTATTTTAACAAAGTTCGATAACAAATAAGCAGATACATATATGTAAGATAAATTAGTTTTATAATTCAATTTAACAATAGGTTTTTAATTCCTCATTTTTAATTTTAGGCGTTTTATCTTTGTATTCTAAAAATTACAGTAACTTTCCTGGACTGCGTCGTTTCTAGATCAATCTATGATGCATGGCTTGCGTTACGCTAATGATGCAGCTAATTGGGAACTTGAACTCACGACTTTGAGAACTGAAACTTTTCTAACCTAAACTAAAACGTTCCTCTTGGCAATCTTCCATACTGGATAAATGCACACTTTTAGCTTCACTCTCTGTGCTGCTTGGAGGCAATATTGCTGTGCTCTCTTCCTACCGCAATAGTAAAGTAAATGTTCTGGAAATAGGCACAATTAAAAGAGTTGAGTGAATTGTGGCCACAAGTGCCAATTTAAATAAAAATGGAATTTAATCTGCCAAGTTTCTTAGTTATTATGGATAGCATTCTATGCAATCAGAATTGTCCTTCTTCAATATGGACATACGATCTGACCTCTCTATGTAATGCGCAATCAGTATTTCTGCGTTTCTGCACCTCACTTTCCCACTTCAGTACTTCTAAAATTTGTTTTCGTTATTGGTGCATTCAAGGAAAAAAATGTTACTCAACTTGAGCAATTGATTCAGCAGTTATATCCCAAAATATAGCATGCTTAAAATTAAATTTCTTAGGAATGAAATTGCAAATTGTTTAATATTTTTTAAATCACATGAGATAATAATATTTATTTAAAGTTTCGACTACTCACGGTGTACATGTGAAACCCTTACAAAATGAACAAAGATATCTGAACATCTTTATATTATTATCTTAGTTTTAGAATTTTATTACACATATATGTGCAACTAATATAAATCACCAGCTTATTACATTCAAAAGTGATAAAGATTCATCGGTACATTTTTTATGGGAGAAGGGTTTTAAAGTTTCCGAAGTTTAAATCTTCTTTTGCGGACAGTATTTAAAGCAATATGTCACGTAGTACGTCCTGCTACAGAAGGTGTTTACACATTTTTAGAATGATTTCAAGGCCATTTAATTAATGACTAAAATGTAAAGAGTATTTTTATTAATGTATAAAAATACATGAACACCCTTTGTATGTATTCGGCATAATCCACATTTAGCCCAAGTGCCATCGCAGCAGTTCCAGAGTTGATGCACGTACAACCAAACAGCTTCCCTGACGAAGGGATAGAAGCTTAGAATGCCTTGAAGTTCAGGCAGATGTTTTTGATAATTTCTTTAGTAACTATTCCAGTTCTTCAGTCATCCCATTCATTCAGGTCATAATTTGAATGTCTCAGTAAATTACAGAAGGTGAAAAATTATGAAATCTCCTATACAGAATGTTGTCACAAGAATGGCATCCTCTTCATGATTTACGCTTCACCATTGCTTCATGATTTTATATAAATTAATATAATGGGACATTTGTGTTCCTTGAAGTTTTGCAAATTAATATCAGAGTAATGCCTTTTGTGTCATGAACTGTCATGCGGCTTATGCGCAGTATTTCTTAAGATATTTATGCACTTTCTCCTTTTTTAATGGCCAAAATTTTTACTTCACATATATGAAGGAATACACATTACAAATTACCGTCATTGATTATGGTTGTATTACATATATAAAAATAAATTTATGCATAAAAATACTCGTAGCATTCAACAGATAAAATTTATACTTCTGCCCTTTAAAAGCATTGGCGTACCACACATCTTTAAGAATCCAGAAGTTATGTTAATAAACATATTTCACAAGATAAGTTGTTATATAAAAGAAATGAAAGCAGTTCATGGTGAGGTACAAAGCTCATTTAGTAATGACCAATTGTTTGAGGAACACAGACCAAAAAAAGACAAAGCCGTATTTTATATAGCTATTATTAGATTCAGGAAAAATTTCTTGATTTATATTTTACATGAAACAGCTGTTTCTAGATATTAACATAAATGAACAGAAATTACTTAAAATCTTGCTTTCCTTAGTTGGTATTCTAGTAGAGGCAACATGACATAAAACTGAAGTATGAAACAACATTCTTGGTTTAGCTTTAATACGTATATAAGATTTCAGTGTTCCAGTACAGTACAGTACAGTTATGCACTTTCTCCTTTTTTAATGGCCAAAATTTTTACTTCACATGTATGAAGGAATACACATTACAAATTACCGGCATTGATTATGGTTGCATTACATATATAAAAAATCAATTCATGTATAAAAATACGAGTGATTTTTTATATATTTAATGCAACCATTTTCAAAACTGTAGCTTTCTTACACTGCAGCATTACATGATAATATTTAAATACAACACAGGTATGCAGTAAATGAAAAAGAAAATCAAAGCTACGTACACATCAGATTTACAGCTGTAAATTCGCTCAGACAAAGATTCGGGCGCCATCCACTTTACTGGTAAACGGCCCTGTAAAAAATTTACTTTTACTTTAATATAAATTATATTAAAAAAAAGGGGATGAATTTCAACAAAGTGAGACAGTAGAATAATTTAAAGTTATCAAAACTAAAATTAATTAATATCTTACGCTGGTTGTCTTTTTATAGTAATCAGTATTTTGAATGTCCCGTGCTAAACCGAAGTCTGCAATTTTTGCTACGTATCCTTCAGTTAGAAGAACATTTCGAGCAGCAAGATCTCTGTGAATATATCTCTTCGAAGCTAAATATTCCATGCCTCTTGATACTTGGTAAGCAAATGAAATAAGGTTTTTGAGAGTTAGTATTGTAGGATCACTGTTCAAAGTTATTGGTTGTTCATATCCAGATGCATCAGTAGGCCGGTGTAACCTCAGAAAATCCCTAAGATTCCCTCTTGAAGCCATTTCGACGATGACATATAATGGTCCTATAAGAAAAGAATTTTTTAATTTTTATGCTTCGCACAGATATGCAAATTTAGTATGCTTTGTGTAAATGAAAGATAACACTCAAGATTAAACATGTCATATATCTCAGACTGTAATATATAGGATAAAATGTTTAAACATAACAAAAATGTCTTCGAAACTATAAATGTATTCCTTTTAGAAATTAAAAAATAATTGCGCGGCAATAACACATCGCTGCGTTCACAAAGGCCTGCTTGAACTAGAAGCATGCCAAACATGAAGAACCTAAGAAATAATGGTAATGCATATGTAAATGTTTGTCCCTTTCCACTCCTCTGAGCAATACCTAATTTAAAGGCTGCATAATTATTTATTATGCTGATCTTCATTGTTGCCTCATTGTTCATTCCTTCATTGCTCATTTTTAGGTTTAATTAATTCAAAATAAAACTTTATAGGAAAATTAATTCTTGCTTATAAGTGGGAATTACGAAAATAAAGCTTGAGCAATTTACACCAAAAGTCAGTTTCTCTCCGGTGAAAAATATTTATAGCCATTGTTTGTGCCCAAGAGATATCAGACTGATACTAGTTCCCAAAATGGTTGGTTAGGCACCCATAGAGCTATCAGCTTTAAAAGGGATGCCTTCATAGGCGGCTTTCATCCAGGAATGAATGTAATGACTGCATCTTTTTGTCCTCTTGAATACGGTGACCTTCTATGTATATCTTGAACTTGACGAGAAAACTGATAAGAGTGAGATGACCACTGCCCATATCAGACCACTGCCTACGAAACTATTGAGAGAATATATCCCAGTAACCTCTGGACACAGGTTTACACGGATGGATCCATGCTTGAGCGAGGTACTGGAGCTGGTGCAGAAACATATTGTAATTATCTTGCATTCTATCAGGCAGTGGGAAGAGATACTATCAATTTTAATGGTGAAATTGTTGATATTTATTGCTCTGAATCAATTAAGCACTTGGAAGAGTAATTTACCTCGGGCTATTATTTTGTCTGATAGCAAAACCGCTTTGCATGCTATCTCCAACAATAAATTTTGCACTTCCGAACGAATTTACGAATGTAGGAAGATTCTCAACACTCTGGCTGACTCGTGCAGTGGATTCCTGCCTCATTGTGGCATCGAGGGAAATGAAAGAGCCGATTTCCTGGCAAAGAAGGGAACGACTGTTCCACTAATAACCATATGGCTTTTAATTCTGAAAAACTCCTAATTAAATTAGAATTTAAGAGGAGGTTTGCCTTCTGCCTTTCAAATGAAGCTAACGGAAAGGCCTGGGAGTGTTTCACCAGACCAAAGCCAGTTATTCCAGATTTTCCTCATCCTGTAGCCGTGGCGTTATTTCGTCTTTTGACTGGGCATATTTGTCTGAACGCCCATCTTTTTAAAATCCAACTTAAGGACTCTTCTGTCTGTACTCTGGACAGTCCATGGATAAGAAGCACATTCACGAATGCATTGCACTATTATCTTTTAATTCTTTTGTGCTTAAGTATTGGGAAACAGAGATCAAGACTAATGGCTTGGTAGCTAAATGAAAGGCATTTGTAAAAATAAATAAAACAGGTGGCTGTCTAATGGGATATTGTTTAGTGTTCACATTACACTAATAAGGAAGACTACGAAAATCCCGCATAACCATGTGTTTTACTGGTAATACGTTTAATAATATTATAAGGTACACTGCGCCAAAAAAAGGGGGGCAGTTCTATATCTCCCGTTCTAGTGGGCCGATTGACGAAACTTGCTTCTTTCATGTCTCGGAAGCGCGACTTAGGATAAATGTTAGATTTATATACAGCATTGTTCTAATATAGGTATTTTGACACAGACAGACGTTCTCTGAAATAACATGCCAATTTTTTTTCCATATTTCAAATCTATAATTCAAATTATGTCAAATTGCCAAGTTTTATAAAAATCGCTCTAGTAGTTTTTAAAAAATTAGTTCTCATTATTCTACCGTACACACCGTACAGGGCGTCGTGCAAACAAACCACCACCGTGCAGTCTTCTGGCCACGGTAAAACGTGATATCGGTCTACCAGTCGCCTGTGTCGTGTCTTAGCGATTTCTCCCGCTGTCTGCCGCCTGTTCTTCTGGCCTGTAAGGCAATTACCGGTCATCTGCGGGTGTGGTTCCTCGTGGACGACCACTTAACCCACGGATAGCTGTTCCTGTAGTTTGAAATTGTCTCCAAAGTCGTGAAAACGATGCTGTGAGCAATTCCGAACTTTGCAGCCACACTTGTCACACTGCGGCCTCCTCCAACTTCCCAATGATTCGACCTGGGTAAAAGCATCCAGATGTCGTCTAACAGATGATTATTCACCATTTCTCGCTGAGGCAGCAACTCGGTGTGATTTTTAAATGCTATACGGCGTGCAATCTCTTGCCAAAATACTGATCTTACACCGACAACATGCTTTATACTACTCAGACACTCCCCATTACGTTCTACCTATATCTGCGCGTGTGCTACCGTACATCACCTTACTTAATCTCCTGATTGGTCTTTCTGTCCGCTCTGCTCTTCGTTCAGCTGATATGCTAATTTTTAGACTTCGTCCTTAATTTTGCACACCAGTGTAGATCTATGAATCTCCTTTATTAAACTATTTGATTTTTCCTTATATTCGAAATTTAGTTCATTCCAAATAAAATTCACCGTTTTATGATTTATCTTTTAAATTTAGTATTTTAATAATTATATAATTTTCGAAAAAAAAATTGAATTACAACCTGTAAAAGTCTTGCCATCATCTTAAAGTAGATGCAATTCCAAGCACATATGCAAACAATTAAGAGTTTCCTATTCAAAATTTCCTAAAATATACGTGAATTTACATTTTGGCGCATTTTGAAATTTGGTATATTTATTATAAGCGATAATAACGAAAATGTGGTTTTGCGCACTTTGTTAAAATAATTTGGAAGTATGAACGATGACTATTTTTCTGTTCGTTGATAATGAAGAAAAAGGAAAGGAAAATAGTTTGCTATAAATTAAGTTCACCAAGTGAATTATTCTTGGCGCAAACTGAAAAAATTTTGCCAAGATAAATTTTTAAATTTCTCACCAAAAATTACAATATTTAATATCTGCTCATAATTTGAGTTGTAGAATATGGAAAAAAATTGGTATGTTATTTCAGAAAAAGTACGAATTTGTGTCAAAATACCTATGTTAGAACAAAGCTATATATAAATCTATATCCTAAGTAGCGTTTTCAAGAATTTTTCAGGTTCTAGCATATATATATATAAATAATGACTCTACTATCACACACCAATTCATTTTACCGGTAAAAACCCTATAAATTTATATAATTTCATTTAAATATATATTTATTTATTATAATTTATAATTTTAAATTTATTAGTAATATAAATTTTATATATAAAGAGATAAATCCAGATTAAGCTATTACCTGTTCAACAGATTTAGTTAGCCTCTAGAAATATAACCTGTTTTTCATATTAGTACCAGCTCAGCCTGTTACCAACTCAGCCCTGTACATACCTCCAAAAGGATTTAGCAACTATGTTTTTAACTTAGCCTGGTCGAAGAACATCTCTTCATTTTATATATATAACGTCCGCTTACATCTTCGTTTTGAAATAAAAGAAGGCACACACTCTTTTTTGGCTGTGGTTTATTTTCTTAAGTTATTGTCATCCAAAGGATAGATGAAAAGTAAGTTTCTTTATATATCATCGAAACGGCCATTAGTTCTTCTCAGCATCTTTTAAAATAGTTCATTTTATACTTCTTCACATCAACTTTTACACCACCCCTTGTACATACATGCATATCTTATCTGACGCATTTCATTGTTTGATTTTATACGAATACTTCGCTTATAACCAAGTAGACTGGCAGCCCCCTGCTTTCATTTTTATAGACATGTTCATGCAACATAAAGACTAAACATCGTAAATTAAGGCTTTTTTTTTTTTTTTTTTTTTTTTTTTTTTTCCCACTTGGGGTTAAGTACACACCCTCAAGTTTTTGTAAAACATTTCTATAAAAGCTTGTATCATAGCGAATACAGTATTGTGAAACAAACTACCGAATAAAAAAGAGGAGAAAAGGCAATTGTTCTCTAAAAAAGAGGAGAAAAGGCAACTAAGGCTGTGATAAAAAGTGGTCAAGGTGTATTTATAAAATTTAACCCTTAATAAATAAAGATTAAATGCAAAGGAAAGCAATTCACATGATGACTTTGTACAAAAAGGAGCCTTAAATTCGCTTTCATTTACATTTTATGCAGGGGGTGCGAAACTAAGGCTGTGATAAAAAGTGGTCAAGGTGTATTTCTGGGCTGAAATGGGGACGAAACTGTTAACGCTAAGTTGCAAAATATCTGACCTGGGGCATACCCTAATTTTTTAAATAAATGAATGAAAGACTAAATTCTAATACTAAGCAATTATTAAAGAAATAAGCCAATTTAAGTCAACGAATGCACATATTATAAGATGCATTCCTCTGGAATTTGTAGGAATTTCCTGCAAAATATATTTCCTTAAATCAATTAAATGCACAAATTTGAAAGATAGCAAATAAGACATAATACACGGCATTGAAATTTGTTATCAGGCAGTCTTACCATTTTGTGTACAACATCCCAGAAGACTGATAACATTGGGATGTTTCCCAATGACTTTCATGAGTTCCATTTCGGAAACCAAAGCTGTCATCTCACTATCTAAATGATTATCTAAGAAAAGAAAGAATTCAAACAATTTTATCAAGTTATACATGTAAAAATATCATGACACGCGTAAAAAAGTTTTTAAAGCAAGTTTTATGTTTCAGGTAAATGAAATAAACCTAGGAAGCAATTAATCGGCATTTCTTCAGCTTGAGCTTAGGGATATTATTACAATGAAGATGATAACTCTATTTGCCAAATTTTAGCTACATAATACATTGTTTTAAATATTTTATCTTTCTGTTTTACTTTATTAAACTTCAAATATATGCATAATCTGAAGTAATGCACATTGTAAATTATTAGGTATCTTACATACAGAATAAAACACTTAATGGTTATTCTGTCCTGAATGCAACCAGAATTTAGAGTCAGCAAGAGAGAGAGAGGGGGAAGACATCATTTAAAGAACATTAAGGTCCAAATAAGTTATGCTTCAGAGATAGCATTTTTCATTAAGATGTCGTGGTGTAAGTGGGAGCACGCTTGGCGCTTATTCAGGTGTTTGGAGCTCGAATCCTGGTTTCGAATTTCGGACTTTTTCAGTTTTCCGACTTCGAAAATCAGTCCAGTGAAATGACGCCCGAAATAAAATGTGACCAATGACTCTAGTAAAAGTGGCGTCCGAACTAAAATGTGGCGGAGCATAATTCATCACTACCAGGATTTTGCGACTGGGTCCCCTAATCTTCAGTCACCTTTTATAAAGGGGAGTATATAGTATTTTCTCCTTTCTGGTCTGATTAGCATCGTGAAAGCACGCTCAGCGTGTATGCGGGAGGTCTGGAGTTCTAAACCCCGCGAGGGCATTGCACATTTTTCACGATCCTGCGTCGCCCACCAGCGGCTAATCGGTAAAATCTCTGAACACAGGTAGTTCGGTACGGCGTTCGAATCCCTGGAGTACAGGCTGGCTGCGTTTTCGCGCTATGCCATATGTGCAACGAACCAGTTTTCCTTAGTCCACAACCCTCCTCCTCGAATGCTTTGAGAAAGTTAAATAAACCGAAAACACGTTCCTGCATCAATATAATCTAATGACTCGATAGATTTTAAAATAAAAATTTTACAGGCAAATATAATAAGCATAGGAACATTATACTATCATATGTTGCTAAACCAACCGGTTAGCAGAGGGTTTCTTTCTTTTAATAATTGTTCAATTTCTAAAGATTTGCTGGAAAATTTTTCATTAAAAAGTGACTGAAAATATTCAGGCACTATCTAGTTCACACAGAGCAGGAATCTACAAAAGAAGACAACTAGATAATTTATTTGTTACCAGAATACTGAGCACAGTCTCCAGTTTACTGAACTCTTCAGATAACTGGGGAGGGAAAGTATTATCTGAATGAAAAATGAAACGAAAACAGATAATTAAATAAGAAATATTATTTTGTGTACTTTGCAGTTTGGAAAGAAAATGAAACAGAAACGCATAATTAAATAAGAAATATTTTCGATGTGTAATTAAATAAGAAACCTTTTTGTGTGCCTATATGCAAGTCATGCTTAGTTTAATCAGGACGAAGATTACAGTATTTTCTTAAACATTATTTAAATTAAATTTTGAAGCCACATTATTTATTTGAATATTATTAAACTTACCTGAAATAATACAATCTTTTGCAAAAATATCGAAGCAACATGAAGAAAATGGCTGTTTTTGATGAAATTGAATATGTGTATAGCTCATACACACATAATAAAATCATTAAAAATTCAAGGTCATAGTACCTGTTTACGGCTCACAATCACCCATTGAGTATTCAGATTAGTATTTGGTCGAACCGCCCCTGGCGGCAATGCATGCTTGAATACGTCAAGGCAAGGAGTAGTAGAGGTTACTAATGCCATCCTGCGATACATTCTGCAGGCATTCTGTCATCAGTTGTCGCCCTAGATCTGCGATATTTTGTGGTGCCCTAATCCTACTATGGTGAAAGATCTGGTGACCTTGCTGGCCAAGAAAGAGTATCAACCGAACGGAGACAGTCCAGCGATATACGAGCGGTATATGGCCTGGCATTATCTTTTTGGAAAATGGCCCCAGGATGATGTGCCATGAAGGGTAATGCAACCGGCCGCACGATGGTATCAACATATCGTTGAGCTGTTAAAGATGTACGGAGGATGACTAAAGATGACCTGCTGTCATATTGGGATCGTTGGTTCCGTCCTCTCCGGACACGAACACTGGTGGTCATCTGCTTCAAGAGAGAAGCGGGATTCATCGTTGATGCCAGTCTGATGGCAGCCATGATGATTGGCTGTGAAACCACTTCAGACGACTCGGCTGATGTTGTGGGGTCAAAGGCCTCTGTGAGCGTAACCCCGCCTCAGACAAGTGCCGCGAGATGGTGGACGGTACCACGGGAGGCATAGACGTATATATTTTCCTCCTCTGTTACTGGTTTTATACTTTGCGCACTAGAAATGCACGTTTTGATTGCAACTTCTGTTCATTTGCCTTGAAACTTTGATCATTTGCATGTTCGAGCAACATATTTTTGTATACCACATTTTGTCACGATCGCAAAAGTCCTTCATGGTGCTTCGATTTTTTTGCAAAAGAGTGTATGTTTCTACTTTAAAAGAAACTGTGTATTACCTTTTAGCATTTTTACAGCTACTGTGGTGGAGCCTTCAGTATTATTTAGTCTGATTGCCTCTGCCTGAATGACGACACCAAATGCCCCTTCTCCCAGCCGTTCGCCTAAAATAAGTTTCTCTCGAGGAAATTCGTATGCTGGATCTAATGGTAATTCATACTCTGGAGTATAAACTGGCGTTTTTCCTTTGCCGGTTGAAAATGTCATGTTGTAGTCAATCTTTACCAATGGAATAATGGAATTATCCTAGAAGTTATGAATGCTTAATTAGATACATGCTGCATCTTTAATAAAGTAGTTAAAATGTAAGCAACAAATGAGAAAATATCTACCATTCATTAAGTAAAATTACATTCATGTAAGTAAAAAGTATGCAAATCAAATATCTCTTAAAATTACGATAAATTTACTCAAAAGAAAACATGAAATAAAAGTCACCAAATCCCATGTCTTGATCCTGATTTAGTAAAAAAATATTCATAATTAATAAATTTAAAATAATCCTATAAATTCTACAAATAATTTTAAAAATGTTAAAACCAAAACTTTTCAAACAAGCAATTCCTCAATTCAAAAATTTAAAGAAAAAGGAACAAAACAGAGGAGGACTTCAATCAACTTAAATGCCACTTCGTCAGGGAGGGAGGAGGAGCACCGAAATCTATCTTCTACAAAAATTCTTGCTTTTCTGTATCCAGAATTAGCCAATGAACCATTTCAATGTATTTTAGTTATAATAGATCACACGAAAATTCTGGCCCTTTCCCCAAAGCAAGGAAAATGCAAAGTAAATTCAAATTAGAATCGTCTACCTTAAATAAAGAGAATTCTATTTTATTTAAAGAATTGAAAACGTAACAGAAATAATAAAATTCTTCAGTGAAAAATTTTAATTCCTTTATTATTCAGGGACATTATCATTCAACACTTTTTTGCAATTTTAAATAATAATATTAAAAAATCTAAAATTCAAATTTATGGATTTTTCTACTCATATTTACAAAACAATTATTAAAAAGTTTTTGACCACCTTTTTGGTCACTTCTTTTTAAAGAATAACTGATTATAAAATTTAATTAGTTTTTATTCCTCCTTTGCTCCGATTTTTGTTATAAAAGAGTAAGAATTTATTTCAAATTTCATTTAGTTGTTAAAGTAATCGTTTTCTTTATCAAAATTAAAAAATTTTTCATTGAAGTATTTAAAAAGTTTTGTCTTTACGTCTCAAAATTCAATCTTTTCTTACAAATTTTAGCCTTTTGAGCGATTACTTTCTCGCCAAGGTTTTTTAATTTCGCCAATGAAGACAAAACGGCAGATCTGTACGTCACTACTATAATGGTTAGGTTAGGTTATTTAATTACGGCAAAGCCTCGAGGGCTATCTGCCTAAGGGAAGGGATGCCTTCGTGGAGGACGTAAGGGAACTGGCTCGTATACACGTTACACATGGGGAAAACCACGAAAACACCCATGCAGCCCTCCCCGTTCGCGGGATTCTAACCTCGGACCGAACTACCAGTGTTCAGCGAGTTTACCGCTTGGCCGCTGGTGGGCCTCACTACTATAACGATATTCTTAGCTTCAACTGAGGTCTATTGAAAGTGCTCGAAGATTTTAATTACTTCTTGTGAGTTTTAATTAAGTCTTTTCACCAGTAACTTTTCTTTTCTTTGGTTCTTCATATGCTATAAAGGTAAAAATTTTGATTAACATTTTTCACTGAATTATTTTATTATTTTTCTTACGTTTTCAATTCAATAAAATAGAATTCTTTTTATTTCAGTTACAAGATTCTAATTTGAACTTACTTCGTTTTTTCCTTGCTTTAGGGTAGGGCCAGAATTTTCGGGTGAACTATTAACTATTATAATTAAAATACATTGAAATGGTTCATCGACCAATTCTTTAATTCATTTGGAATTCTTCAAGGACTTTTATAGAAGAGAGATTTCAATGTTCCTCCCCTCGACGAAGTGGCATTGAAGTTGATTGAATTCCTCTTCTGTTGATTCACATCTGAATGCTAATGAGGAAGAGCGGTATTTAACCGCGAAGTTCTACTTGCTGAGTTAGAGAGAATCAGAGTTTCCAATTTGCGCGCGTCTGCCTTTTGGCTACTCTTTCTCAAAGCTGTTATTACGCTCGGCCGCACTCAAGCCCTTGAAGCTTCGTAGTCAAATAGAGTTAAGGGACCAACTCGATTAGAATCTTGATAGCTTCGGCTATATCTCTTTAGTTAATCTTAGTTTTAGTTTATTTCTTAGTTTCTTAAGTTCAAGCACAAGTGTCGGCTTTTATTGTACACTCCAAGACGAAGTTCTGTTAAATCTTATTGGAATAATAAAGGGTTACTTACACTTCCATCTTGTTTTTCTTGTTACACGAACTCAAGCGATTATTCGCTAACTAGTTCTTAAGGTTACTCACCTTTGACTGCAAATACGCAGTGGTAAACCTCACAAAAGAAAGCTGGTATTAACTAAATTTTTACAATTTTTCATCTAAAGTAAAATGATACTTATTACTTATACCTTAATAAAAGGGAATAGTTGGATGACTACGATAAGAAATTTAATGTAAACATGTATAAAGATTTTGTTTTTTTTCCCCTTTCAAGTATTATTTATACTATCTTTCTACTATTTTGTGAATTTGAATAAACTCGCAAAATTTACTTTTACTAAAATTGTCGCTTCTAATTTCTAAGGGGTATTGTACCCCAATTACGTGAAGACTAATCTTTTATAACCTGTATTTTTCCTTTTTCTTAAAATTTCAGCCAGTTTTGTTTTCTCATTTTACGATTTTACAGAGGACAGCATCTTTTAAAAAGTTTCTTCCGCTGCCATGTTAGAGTTGACAATTACCCTCCTCGTCGGTGAAAATTTTTACAGACTGCACTCATGCACACCCACACACAAAGTTTAACAGATAGGACATTTTGAACCTTATCGCAAACTTTTTCCGAGTAGCCTTGAATTCAACTTTCTTTTGCAAGGAACACAGTTTGGAAAATGTTTGTTTCAAATAAGTTTTCAGTTTTTAGCTGTTTAAGGCTCAGATTAGATTTTATATTATTTATAGAAATCTCTTCTGAAAAGTTTTCGTTTTCTTGATTTTAAAAGTTTAGGATCGCATACTCGAGGACCACCCAATTTTTGAGTGTTTAAATGGCAATATTATTTAAAGTATATTTGTTTTACTCTTAAATTTGTAATTGGTTTTGAATGTCGAACTTACATATAATGTTACTTGACCAATCTGTTTTTCTGAATGGTCAGTTTGCATAATGTAAAGTTTTTTTTTTTTTTTTTTTTTTTTTTTTTTTTTTGAGTAGTTAATTTGGCACAATGTAATGCTTTATTCTTTTTTTCCAGGCGCTTCAAATATGTGTAGGGAAAATTCTGTCCACATATGAGATTCGATTTTTCTGTTTTAAATGAATTTAAATGTCTTTAATGAAAATTTAATTGAATCTTTCTTCGGTTTTTGATCTCAAATGTACCAGAAGAACGAAACATATATTCGAAACATATTCATCGACTTCCATAAAATTTTAATTCATTTTCCCCTGATGAGTTCTGAATTAGAGTTTCAGTAAAAGGAGATTAATTTTGATATTTTGTATATTTTTTCCTTTTCGCATTTTTATTTCCCAAGTTTATTCTGCTGATGTATCCTTATTTTAATATTGATATGTTTAGATACAGTGCTTAACCTCTTAATCACCATTGTAATTATTAATATTATTGAGGAATTGCCTTGCTTTGATTCCAGTTTTATTTTAACCTCGGATGCTTTAAGTTTAATTTACTTCAATCCTGCAGATATAATGCAGGACTGGTTAAAAAAATTTTGTTTTTAATTTTTGACCTATTACTATGATTATTTTTATGTGCATATACATATTTAGTATGTACTTTAAATATTATACAATCTATTTTTATTAGTTTATGTATTATCATAATCTGCTGTCATCATAAGTAAACTTCTTAAATGTACATGTTATATAAGATTATACCAATTTTATTATGTATTATCAGTACTTTTACATATCATATATTTTATGTGTTTTCCAACTTTTCATATATGTTAACCACTGTTATATATTGAGTATTGTCATGTAATATATCTAAATTGGTTTAAAAGACCATCGAAAGCTTGAATGAAAGAAAGAAGTGCAAGTGATGCTGCTGGCAATAGTGACTGGAGCAATGGATCAACCACATCATCGTTGTGCCATTTGAGAATGTCAGGGTACCCTGAAAGGCTTTTGGTCATATGGATATTCAGTGTATGAAGTCAATACCCACTTATTTATGGTAAATATTTGGTGGACTCTACACTTACATCTATCTACCTACCCAGACAATCCAGTGTATGTTGAAAATCAGCCCAACTGTTCATTTATAGAGGAATTCATTACATAGCAAAGGGTCATTTTTTTAAAAATGGTCATGTGATTTTGGTATCTGCTTTAGACACTGTGCGTTCAACTACTAGGCCCATATGAATATAGAACTGAGATGCTTAGGTTTTTATATGGCTTACAATTCTTACTACTTTCAACTTATTTTAGGTCATTTAAACCCAAAGAGTTTTAGATTAAGCAGAGCTTCTAGATTATGTAGCAAACTGAATTGATTACTAAACAACAACTGAAACAATATAACTAAACTCTTACTCAGCAAAAGATTACTAAACAAAACTGAAACAATATACTATATACATGAATAAAATAACAATAATAAAAAATTACAGTTATGATTGCAGTTGAGTAATAATTAATGAAAAATTACCTCATTTCTTTCTAGAATCACTTTTTTGGTAACTACTATCTTTTGATTGGCTTTCAGTTTTTTTTTAGCATACTTGCAACGACAAATCAGGATACCAGTGACTGTACAAGCCGGAACAAAAACGAAGATGGCTATGACCCATATCAAAGGCGTTTGTGCTTCAGACAAAATTTTCTGTGGTACCGCTTCCTCTGGTGCTATATTTTGAAAAGAAATGTTTGTTAGATTTTATCCTGAAAAATACTTAAAAGTACATTTTTTACAAAAACTGATTGAAAACGGATAATTAAAAAAATACATACTAATTAGCATAGCACTTAACATTTTTTTGTTTTTACAAACCGCTTTCAGAAAGCACATTTAGAAAGTATACACTGTAACAAAAAAAAAAAAAAAAAAAAAAAAAAAAAAAAAAAAAAAAAAAAAAAAAAAAAAAAAAAAAAAAATGATGCACCAAGAAGGAGTTGTCTGATGGAAACAAAAATTGGTTGATTAAAATTTCAGAACAAAGATTTATTTCAGAGTTACATAGTTACAAAGTAACGAGTTCAACAAGGTGTTGACCCACCTCTAGCCTGGAAGCAAGCTGCCTCACGGCGTGGCATAAACTGATAAAGCTCCCGAATGGTCACCAGTGGTATTTCTTGCCAAATTTGCTTCAGTCCCTGGTAGATGCAGTCGCCTTCCTATCATATCCCAGACGTGCTCGATGGGAGAGAGATCTGGCGATCTGGTTGGCCAAGGAAGTGTTTGACAAGCTGTATGACAGTTCATAGCAACACGTGCCGTATGTGATCAGACATTATCTTGCTGAAAAATAAGGCCAGGGTACTGCAAAAGGAACAGTAGCAAAACAAGTCTCAGAATGTCGTCGACGTACCGCTGTAAGTGTGTCTCTAATGACGACCAAATGGGTCTGGCTATCAAGGGAAACGGCAACCCCAGACCATAACGTTTCGTTGAGGGCCTATGTGGCATGCAATAGTGAAAGCAGTATCGGCACGCTGCTCTGGGCGTCTCCAGACACGTCTTTGATGATCGTCACAACACATTTGGAAGCGGGACTTGTCGCTAAAGACTATACGTCCCCAGTCAATATCATTCCAACCTGATCGAGCCAAGCACCTGATAGTCACGACACAGTTGGAAGCGGGATTTGTCGCTAAAGACTATACGTCCCCAGTCAGCATCATTCCAACCTGATCGAGCCAAGCACCACTGTAATCTGGCTCGACAGTGTGAAGGCGTGAGTGGCAGATGTGGCGTAATGGTAAAAGCGTCGATTTATTAGCCGTCTGTGAATGGTCATGGTGGACACTCTCGTATGCGGGTCGCACGTCTGATGGTTGATAGCGATGAATTAGGCGCTGTAACAGCTGATCTAACAATGACTCTGCCCTCGCGATCTATTGTGCCCTAGGTCCACCACTACCATTATGACTCTGAAATCTACCATTGTCCACCCGTATATTTGGTCACAACATTTAAAATACGAAATTTCAAAGCAATCGGATGATTTCTTCTTGGTGCGTCAATTTTTTTGCTATAGAGTGTATTTTCTATTTAATTAGTTACATGATTTTTGTAAACATATTTTAAGAAATAACTCAGAACAAAGGAGATTAGAAGTGAAACTTACGTCCTAAAACTTTTAGGTAGGCACTACGATAAGACACTCCAAGAGCGTTTCCTGCAATGCAACTATAATACCCTTCATCATCAAATGTCACGTTTGACAAAACGAGAAAATATGGATCAGTAACATTTGGATCGTTACTCTGAAAAACAGAGGAAAAAAAAAAAAAAAAAAAAAAAAAAAAAAAAAACTGTTAGAAACTGGTATGTAACATACATATAGCAGTAGGCAGGGATTTATGGTGCCTAAAGAATGTTACTCTAAAAGTTGTTACATCATTCTGAATAACAAGGGAAAGCAGCTGGAGTTATAAACGTCTATTTAAGACTTACTTTCTTTCACATGCATCAGTGTTGCCACTCTGTCAAAAAAATCTCACCACAAATCACTGCCTGCTACTGTTTACTTCCCAGTTTCACTTTCTTATACTCAATAATTTAGAATAAAACACTTACTTCTAAAGGTTCAACATAGGGTGTGCCAGCACTATCCGTATAGGAGCCGTTAACAACAAAATGTTTTATCCATCTCATCCTGGGCTGCAGATCACTAATAAACTGACATTCAAATTTTGCTGTTTGTCCTACATATACTGTCTGGTTCTGTGGATAACCGTCACGAAAAATGGGTCGATGGGGGATCCGTTCTATAAGAATATAACACTGTAAGTATTTGCCGTAGCATGTAAATAACTATGCTACGTACCTACAGTTAAACAAAATAATAATAATAATAATAATAATAATAATAATAATAATAATAAAATTGAGTAGATCATTATTATTAAAAAGATTTAATAACTTCTGTGAAACTGAATAGATCATAACAAGACGCAATGAGATTGTGAAATTCCTACAATGAGAGATATTTCACTAGGTAAAGTGACTATTGATTCCCCTCTATGATCAAAGGCAATGTAATAAAAAACAGGAGGACGATTATCATCAAATATTATTAAAAGTCTTCCTGTGCATTTGAGGGTAAAAAGCGAATTCAATGTTATCGAAAAGTTATGAAAAGACATCAGTGCTAACAAAAAACGAAATGAAATTTTTTTTTCCCCAGTGTGACCATAACTCTGCCTACGAAATCGAAAACAATTATTTTCAAAGCTGCCTTCCTATATGCGGTGATCCTATGTGCATTCAGGGATGAGGATATCTTATAAATTATGCAAGCGATGGGGAAAACCGAGGTCAGTAGACAAACAAGACTTTTAATTCCAAGGATGCATCAGCGTCCACTCAGAATTGCCACTCGACTCATAGGAGAGGAAGAAATGAAGACACAATTGCGTTTAAATTCCCAAGTTTAGAGATTATCCAAGAGATATGCGAAATGAACCTTTGGGTATATCACTTCGCAAAATTAAAAAAAAAAAAAAAAAAAGGAATACAGTCTATAAATTTCTGTAACTGGCTTCTCCTTAAGTTACACATAAGGAAAACCACGAAAACATTAATTCATCCAGCCCCTCCCCATTCCCCGGGATTTGAATTCGGGTCAAACTACCAGCGTTCAGCGACTTAGTCATCGGCGGGTGGTGGGCCATTTTTCCTCGGAACAAAGTTATCACACAGCAAAACAGCTTTGGATTAGATTTAAATTTTGTCTATAAATCTAAGTCTTAACATGTAGAGGTAACAAAATATTTTTTTTTTTTAAATAATACACCTCTTCCTCGTGGAAGGAAGCATTTGCGCGTTTCATCGTACTTGGTTACTTAAAGCAATTACTTTTGGAACAGTAATTATACCAACAATAGTACCTTAATTTTTGAATGCGAGCAGAATGGAGATAAAGAATATTATTATTATAAACCAATGATTCCCAAAGCGCGCAGAGTCTATTAGGTAAAATCGCTAAATGCTCGTACTGTGTCCTTGGTTCAATTTCAGATGAATGGGCTGGCTGCATGAGCATTTTTGTGGTTTTTTTCCACATGTAACGTGGATACGTGCCAGTAAGTCCTCCACGAAGGCATCCCTCAAGCATGTAATACTCACGTGCTTTGCCGTAATGAAAAACCAGATCTAAAGTGTGCGCCTGTAGGCAATTTTTGGCAGATCGCGAAAAATTTAAGAGTTCTCTTTTTTCTTATTTTATAGTTATATACATCTGCCTGTAATAACAAATTAATTTAAAATTATCAATTGCTAGATAAAGAGTCTATAAAAGTCTTTATGCTACTTTTATTTTTTCAACTTCTTGTCGCCGACATATACTCCCAGTTAGAAAAATGTTTTAAATAATTCCTGTGTTGACATTTTTTAATTTAGAAAATTAATTTCGCAAAAATTATGAAATTTTTTATTTAGTATCCCAATTCATATAGTTATGTTTAGTAAAAGTTTATGCTCATGCTTAAACAAAATAATAAAATAAAATAAAAATAATGCCCAAAAAGATTGGTTTTAAATTGGAGTTACCTTCAACTTCGACTTGATAATGCCACTGAATCTCTCCTTCTGAGTTTGAAACAATACAAGTGTAATTCCCTGTATCGCTTGTTAATAAATGCTCAATTGTCATAGAATATTTTCTATAGATAATCTGAAAAAAAAAAGGAAATAATAATAATTACAACAACAACAATAGCTTTAAGTTTTTGATATATTAAATATTTCCTCAAATACTTGAATTTGCGAAGAATGTTCAATCTAGGTACTTCTCAGAGCTTAAAACAATATGGTAGCACGAAGTTTTTATAATTTTTATTTATATTTATTTCAAAATGAAGTAGTTATCTTCTTTTTTAAATGAATCATCGTCTTAGCCACACATATCAATGGACAGAATTTCTTAAAGTAAGTGGTATTTGCTATATTCTGCTCTTTCAGTTAAGAAAATATACTAACATGAATTTATTTAAAAACAGGCTGCAGCGACATATTTAATGTCGTTTAGTACGAAATGGCTTACTTATCATCGCCACAAAATTGGCCAGGATCAAAAATGAAATATACGACGTTTTTAATTTAATGTTATTAACAAATAAACTACAATTTGGCAAATATTATCTATGCTTTCTATAGAGATGGTACATCACCCATTTTCGTTTTGAATCATGAATTTTAGAGTGCTCTATAAAACTATATTATGCGACAATTCATTTTTACTACATAATCAAATAAACATTTAATATTTATACAACAGTAAAAGTTAAACAACAAAGCACTAAATATCTAAAGAAAGACAAGCTTTTCAAGTTTTTTTTTAATTAAAAATACGTTTATTATTTTAAGTATATTTTTTTAGCGTCCTATATTCAGCAACCTCTTCTTTTTTTCTAGTCTCAATTAAAAGTACCATTTGGAGAGAAATTAATGACCCTTTTAACAACCATGTTCTTGCTTGGGGGTTTAAACTCCTAAAAAAACGAGAAAATCCTAATTAAACTAACTGTTTTCTAAACATTTTCCCATAACAGAAGACATGCATCTGCTATTAGGAGCCAGGAAAAGTTGGATACTGATTTCAGTTTAATTAACAGTTAATTAACAGGTATATTGATAAGATTTCCCTAATTTAAAGCTATGTTAGGATGGCGCACACCCTTTTGATATTCACGTTTGCCTGTATTACACAAAAACATTTCCCCCAGTTATTATCACTTATAGGCAACGCTAAGAATTAAATACAGAAATGGTTACTCACTTTAGTCTCTTATTCTGGCATAGGCTAGAATGTAGACAATACAGCACATATAATTTTTTCCCTCCTTCCAGCATGCCTTCACGGTGTAACGGTAACACACTCAGCGCATATTCGAGAGTTCCGGGTTCGAGTCTCGGCGAGGGCATTGCTCACTTTTCGTGTTTTCTACTTCCGAATGTCTCTAAAGTGATGTCCGAACTAAGGGTGGTGGATGATGATTCTGCACCAGGATTTGCCGATTGGTTATATACATCTAATCCCCAATTGCCCTAGGGGGAGCATATAAGGTATTTTCTGCCTCCTTCGTGGTGTAACGAGCACTCTCCGCGCGCATTCGTAAGTCCAATTTCGAGTCCCGGCGAGGGCATTGCGGATTTCTGCAGTTTTCTGGTACAAAAAAACCTAATGTCTCTACAAGGCTAAGCCACAAAATTTAGGTTCGTGTTCTACTTGATCGATCAAATTTTGCTTGACAGTTCATCTAACATTGCTAAAAAGATTAAATGGTCCCAAAGTAACAGAACTAGTTACAGGCTCGATTCCAGTATTTTTGTCAACTTTGGCGATCAATGTAACTGACACACCGTATAAATCAAAGACATCAATAATTTTAAAACAAAATATACAGTAGTAACTCTAGTATTGGAATTTGTCTGGTAATTTGATCCAGGGAATACCACGGATACGCAAATAAGCATGAAATCGCGGATAACAGCGAAACAGGTTAAGGATTCGTCTGAGAAAAGATTCACTAAGAAAAAGCACAATTCTAAAGAGCGACTTGTAACTTAAAAATGTATACGAGGTCTCGAAGATGACCAATTTCATCTTTCCTTCCATTTAGTCGCATCCATTAGAAATGTGTATGTGCAGGACGGAATTTTTTTTGCCTTGTGAAATTTCTGTGGGTCGTGAATTCTGCTGCCAAGTCCCTGGCATAAATTCTAAATAATCCCTCCCTAAATTTTGTTGCTCGTTGCTTCTCTAAATGCTAACAAAGTTCCCTCCGCTAAATTCTGCCGCCCTATGTTGTGCTGCGTAAGTACGTGCCTGTAGTCATGATATCGGTGAGAATATAATGTTTAGCTTGTTTCGGTTGCTGTGTTTCACATCTGGCCAAACAAGTGTATATTTGTGAAACTTCAAAGGACGTTTACTTCTGCTGGGACGCACACATAACTGAAACTGTGGACACTAAATCTACGGATTCGGGAGGTTCATGTAGTTATCGCTTGTTAGAATAATACAGCTGTTGCCTTTCTAAAATCGGCGATCTAGGCGGTTTGCTACGGCGCTTATATTTGCAGCCTATCTTGGTTAGTAATATAGTACTGTAGGCCCACCAGCGGCCGAGCGGTAAAGTTGCTGAACACTGGTAGTTCGTTCCGAGGTTCGAATCCCGCGAATGGGCTGGCTGTGTGGGCGTTTTCATGGTTTTCCCCGTGTATACGAGACAGTTTACCTTAGAAAGCCCTCCACGAAGGCATCCTTCCCTTAAGACAGATAGCCCTCGACTGTTTTACCACAATCAATTAGAACCAAACCAAACCAATATAGTACTTTAAAACGTATAATAATGAAATTATAAGAACAACTCTTAGATTTCCAAATATTTTCATTATTTACAGAATTTTATTACAGTGCTTGTAAGCAAGTTTTGAATTGCATGAAAATAACACTGATCTTACATCTATTTCTCTCTCTGGCACTTCTCCATTTTTCAGCCATTTGATCTTGGGAATAGGATTACCATTCACCGGGCACTTCAGAGTGACAGAACTGCCCGCGGGCCTTGCTAAGAGCTTAATATCCATTTTAAATGGCTGAGTAAAATAAGGCGCAACTAAAAGAGAAGCAAAATTAATTTCATATATGCAAATTTGTATCAAATTTCAACGATGGAATAACTAAACATTTTTTCTCTTAGGGTTAACAAAATTAGAGCAAATTTAACAATTACATATTATTGAGAAAGATATCATTTCCGGTCGATAAAATTACTAGTAAATACATAAGCAGTTAAACTGAAGGAAAAGGTATCATAGAATGTTTCCCTGGTATTTCGTTTTGCTCGGCAAACAAAAAGGAATAATCACTTTCATTATTTTCGTAGGAGTGTTTCTGCATGCATGCAAAATTGGAAAAATGAATCAGAATTCTATTTTTAATTTGTAGTACTTTCTTAAATCTCCTTTTTAATTTGGCTGTTTCATTGTTACTCAAAAATAGTAACTATTTATAACAGATCTCTCTAAAATGTGTCATTTCAAAATTAATTCTTGCCATACGATTTTTGTATATCACTAATCACACAGCGCATACATACTCTTCAGTGAATAAGATTTCGAATTTGCGAATGGAAACTTAACCAATCAAGATAAAGCTAAACCAAAACTAAATCACTCTGAATTTGTTTTTCATCTTAGACATGTGACATTCGCTTTCCGCTTTTATCCCTAACTACATCTACCGCTACTTCTCTTCTTACTTTAACATCTGGAAAAATGTAAAAATTCTTTTAGAACAGGCCGCGCTTACTCTGCCAGTTTAACAAATGATGTATAAAGAATGTTCCTTCCTGCCTTCCTGCTAGAAAATCTGCCATGTTTATTTGATATTAATTCTATTATTTTATCTTTTTCAGAATCAATAAATTTTGCGATATATTGTGCATTAAATATTATTCAATTTCTGATCTGAATATATATATATATATATTACATACATATAAATATCTAGCCAGTTATTTAATGTAGGCAATTAGAAACGTGTTTTAAGAAATACATTAATAGTGTTATAAGTGTAATAAAAAGTATCAGCTAAAAATGTTTTTTTTTTCATTAAATAGATACATAATTCAAAATAAAATAAAGACAAAATTATAAGCAACTACTCACACGGTTTTTAAATTGCATGATCTGTCTGACTCAATAAGTGTACTTTTCTAACTTTAGAGGTAAATTAAAAGATCTGTGGCAAGACTGGCAAAAGTTGTGAGATTTAAAAATTTGGGGGCTGCCTCGCGTATGTGATTAATGCTGTGGTAACATAATGTAACTTAATAAAGCGTGAAAAACGTAACAGACTCGACTACAAACACTTTTTAATTAAAAAAAAGTGCAAGTGTTATCAACTAGTATGTTCTTATAAGAAAACCAGAAGTTAAAATCGACATGTGTAGTGCACCAGAGGTACGAGAACAACTGAGCACTATACAATTCTTTATTTTTAATTAAACATCAAAAAGAAACTCTATATTTTTAAATCATTTTTCAAAAAAACAATCGGAATAAATATAAAATACCTAGACTAATATACCTGGAAAAGATTACGTTACATTAAATAAATAAATAAATAAATATAAATCGGGTAAATAAATACAAATAAATGTTTAAGAAGAAAATCTGCGATTTCGAAAGCATTTCCATTAAATATTTTTACGTACATTTGTCTCCTGGTTTGAAAAGTGGTCTTGGGCGAACTCGACTATCATCTGCCTGAGGTTCTTCCAACAAGTTTTCAGGTTCTGAAAAATTCCATTATATATCAAATAGTTACCTCAAGCTTGTGTATATTAACATATATCAGATAGGCAACATTTGATTTTGTGAGGCAACATGCAATGCTTACATTTATTTATATTAAAAAATTCACAACAAAAATATCGTTAAAACAACAAAACATCATAAATGTAGAAATTTCATGATGCAAATGACAAATTTTTACAAAAATGATCAACCAGTCAGATTAGTAGTAGCCTGCTTAGCTTACAGTAAGACAAATAATGAACCAAAGAAATGGTCAATAAATCCGATCCTGTGCATCAATAGTGTCCATAAATAAGATATCACCGAATGATAAGGCATATATATGTATAGATATAGTATAACGCTTAAATTTACTTACTAGAAATTTTCACATTTTTCAAGTTTAAGAATTGATCGTTTCAAGGAAACCTGCTTCAGAATCTTGAAATTTTCAAAATGCAAATTCTGCATACTTTCCTTGTGTCACTGATGTTATGTAATACTGTCAGAATAAGTACTGTCAATTGTCTGGTAACACTTTTAATAAGCTACATTAATAATATTTAGCTGCATATAGCAGCTAAATATTATTAATGTAGCAGAGCGATTTTGGCATTAATGCTGTAAAAGAAGTTCAGATTTCAATTAAATTTTGAATTTAAACATGTTTATGTTAATGTATCCATAAAAAGACACATATCATCTGGAATCTTTAGACAGATATCGCTTTCAGACTTAATTCATTGGAGAATCTGGAAAAAATCACATTCATGTGTGCATATTTACGAATTTATACGAGTGGGAATTTCATAAATTACTGATTCAACATGCAAACATTCTATGCGCATATATATATCTGTCTATCTATCTATATATATGTAAATTAAACGAAAAGTTATTCAATTTTCGATGTTACTTTTCAAACACTTTTACTAGGGGGAACTTTATGCACTTTATGTTATGTTCTTTATGCACTTTATGAACTTTATGTTATTATGAACTTTATGTATCACATGGAAATTCCAGAAAAGATTCAAATTGCTTTTTTCCTTGAACTTCTATTAATTCACATACATTTTCTTTTACGTTTACAGCAATTAAAAAAAATTAATGTTTAATATGCATTAGGAATGCTTAATTTTTTAATGGAATGTACCTGGAAGAAATAGCTGCCTGTAACTATAAATAAGGCAAACAAGGAATTAAATGCCATTTTACACAGCATATTATATTTAATAATATGCTAAATTGGCTTAAAATATTATTAAATATAATATGCTAGCCAATTTTTCTGTTAAAAATTTGTAAACAATAATGCGTAGCGAAGACAACGGGATTGAAACGTTACAAAACTTTACAAAAAGATTATAAAATGAAAATTTATTTTTACTCCTATTCCCTTCTATAATGGGCTTAAAAGAGTAAAGAATGGCATGGTAACAAATGTGGCACTTTCTTCTAAATAACAATTAAATATAGTTTCTCTTCTTCATTAAAGAGTATGGATAAACAACATAAATGACAATGCAATCTTTCCAGAAACGAACCAGTCATCTTGAAGTAAATAAAAATTTTTTTCTCCTTCTTTACACCAATCAATGTATCTTATACTATAAGTTATTTTCTCCCTCTTTTCCGCATGCCTTCTGCATGTTTGTAATTGGAAGCATACTCGACGCGTATCCGAGAGGTCCAGGGTTCGAAATCCCGGGTAGGGTACTGCACATTTTTCACGTCTGGATGCTTAAAAATAACCTTACGACTCTACAACGCAATTTTTCAAATTGTCCGTGATTCCATTCTCCACGACCCGTATTGAAATCTCAGGGCCAAACGCATCAAGAATTCGATTGCCGGGCAAAATTAAGCCCAGCAACTGATTGCCAGACATCAGATTATGAGTCCTCTACATTGTGATTTAGAGCTCAGTGATAAACTGCAAACATAATTGCTCATGAGCGATTCGGGCCTGTGTCTGAACTTATGAGCCTACATTTGGAACTATTCGGACCTACGCAGCCGGACAGGACTCGCACACTGTTTTGAAGAAAAAGCATAATTTTTAATGGTAACCGGCTCAAGGTAGAGTTAAATGGTACTATAAAGTAGATATATTGCCTTTTGTTTGCTGTATCGTGTATGGATGTTCCTCTTGCCAGAAATTCTTGTTTCCAAACTTCTTTCCATTTTATCCCAAACGTATAGACACTGCTTGAAACAGGAGATATTGTCTTTTTATAAGGAATTTTCTAAAGCTTTTTTTTTTTTTTTTTTTTTTTCATATAAGATAAGCGAAAGCAATAAGAACTATTCCGCGTAGCTCTACTCAAAGTATTTCCCGCTACAGGAAGAAGATATAAAAGCACACTTTCATTATCAAAACAACAGTTTTCTGTGTTTGTAACTATAGAACCAAATAAAACTAGATGGGTTTTATAGTTTTTATCTAGCTTAGTTTTTAATTGTTAAGTACAGTTTTATATGCATAGCAAACGTTTAATCTGCATTTAGTTCCAGGAAATGTCATGAAGAAATAATCTGGCTGCATTTCTTACTCCCAAATTAACCAGAGGTTCTCAGATCACTTCATCTAGTTTTAATTAGCAGCAGAATTTTCTTTTCACCATAGAGCTAGAAATACATGTTGTCTGAATAATAGGAATCGCTTGATATTAGGTGTTACCTGTACTTCTGGTAACATTGGATACAATACTTACATTTTATTTTTATTCTATTTTCTTTTTATTGCATTTTAAAAATGAATTTTTTAACGTTTTCAGTTTTGTCTAAATTCATGTAATACTTTCGCTTTCATTTTTAGTCGGCATATTAAATTCACACTGCGTTCTCTAAATACAATAGGATTGGGCATTGTTTTCAAAACTAATCAAAAGTTTTAATATATTAGAAAATTGTTTTTTGTAAACTTATTTACTTACTTGCGTCATACTTCTTACAGAATTTATGGTTTTATTGTAATCTTTGAAAGTTTAGTGTTCGGCCGTTAATGTGTCGATCTGATGAACAACCATGTAAACGTTAATCCTTTGTATTGTCTCACTTACTGTGGGGTTAGTTCTTAATTACACATAAAAGCTTGTTTCTTGAAGTCTATAAAGCTTGAATGAATGTATGAATGAATGAATGAAAAAAAAAAAAAACTTGAAATCTTTATTTTTAAGCAGTGCATGACAGAAGTCCTAACTCTTCTACATTTTGCCATACACATTGATTGTATTGACAATTATAATCCTTAAATTTCAGAAGATTTTGAAGTTCTTTCAGCTCGAACAATTCTAGATTAATTTCTCTGGACATGAGAAATGTAGGACATGAGATTTTTAAAAAAATCCATAATCCTGCGTATTTGTTTTCCATTGTCTTGTTGATGATGAAGTAGATATCTTGTAGTGATGAAGTTGATGATAAATAATGAAGAGATTGCTGGGAACATTTATTTCTTCTTTGCCCTTTCATTTAGATCAACACTAAAGAGAATAAAGCTGCAACTGCGGGAAGCAACTACAAAATATCGTAATTCAGTAAATCGGGAGATAAGTACATCGAGAAAAATTGTGAAGTATTTTTATATGATTACATATACTTGCGTGTAATTATTAATCGATTTACAATTACTACATAATTTTAATAGTCATATTTATTTATAATGCTTCCTTATTGATGTTTTATGCAAAATCTCCAATTTTTTTACATCTTTTTTTCCGAGTAGAAGTACACATACGGGTCATAATAAATGTACATATGGGTAGTGATACTAAAACGTTGCCTTAATTTAAAGTATCGTCAAAAAAGTTTTTTTTTTTTTTTTTAAATCCTTTTTTTTTTTTTTTTTTTTTTTTTTTTTTTTTTTTTTTTTTTTTTAAAGATAATCATATATCGCTATTCGCAGCTTTTAGAAGACAAACGGAAAACTTGGTATATTACGCTGTTACGCAGGGAAGTATAGATAGAGCCAAATTTTGTACTAGGTATAAAATATAAATTTATTAAATTGGAGTAAGTTCATCCCGAGTCCTTTCTTTGCATTTTCTGCCGTAAAGTAACAACAGGGATGAAAGGGTTGATATTGAGGGATATTTTCATTTTGGTGTAACAGTACCTTACGAATCCAGTTTCTTGAGATTCTGATTCTTCTTAGACCAAAATCTTAAAGCTCAAAAATTGCCTAAATTTAACTAAGCAAATCTGGATATATTTTAAGTAGTTTATAAGTTTAGTTTAGAACTGACAATAAAAATTAATATAAAATTTATACAATTTTTATAATACAGAATATAATTTATTAATAATTTATAATAAATTTAATTATAATTTATAATATAATTTATTAATGAAAGCTGTGTTAGACAGTGGTTTCGTACAGGATAAAACGTGCAACATTTTTTCAGAAGGTTTTATTGATAAAGAGATACCAGAGATTGCAACCACGAAACTGAACGAAAGGGGAAAGGCTGCATCCATGGAAGTTTAGAATAAATTATTTCCTACCTCCATGGCTGCATCGATACTTCCCTGAATGGACACTGCTGCTCATAGTATACTTTTTTATCACTATTATCTTAAAGCGGGTAATGTTTTACACAGCATAATTTATTAATTAAACTTCACTGCATTTAGCGTTTGTTATAATGAGTTTTCATTTAAATGCAGTTGGGATTGGAACGGATACCGTGGCATTACATCTGAAACAGAATTTTCATTTTCTGCTATGAATCTCATGAACACTGTGACTACAAAAAAAAAAAAAAAAAAAAAAAAAAAAAATTACACAAATATAAATAGAAAAATACATAATAATTATAGTACCTTTTTCTATGACTTTAACTGTGAAATTCTTCCATATCGTGCCGTATTCATTATAGGCTTTGCAAAAATAAGCATCTGAGTCAGAATCTGTGACATTTTCAATCGTCAAGCTGTTCTTTGTGATCCTAAAACGTTCCGTAGAAAGAGAAAGTGACAAATTATTGTTCAATGCAAACCATTCAACGACAGGTTTTGGACTGCCAGAAACTGCACATCTCAGTTTTACTTTTTGTCCCACAGCCACTTCCAGGTATGATGGGGTATTTTCCTTAAATTTTGGAGGAACTGAAAAGAAATGTTTTATTTTAAAGAGTAAATGTTCGTTGTTGCCACACGTGGAATCTTAATAACTATTCAAAACATTACATGATGTTGCCACTTAAGAAATCTTAATAATTATATAGAAACATTAAATTATGTTCCACTACAAAATAAATCGGGACTTCCCTTATGATGCTTTACATCTGCAGTTTCTCAATAGAGGATTTTAATGAGGAAAGTTTTGATTTTTCTTTTCGTATTTGTCCCGTATATTTTAATTTCAAGTTTTACATTTATCATCTAAGGTAGTAATATCGTAAAATGAATCTAATAGAACGAAACGAACGCAAATAGAAAATTCGTGCCCCTTCTCTCCAGATTTAGCACTTTTTTCTTAAGTTGTTATGAAATAATTTTTGCTAGGTGATCACCCTGATCAGTGCTATGTTGGGAGACGCTCGTCACCGTTGGGATATCTTCCCAATCTATATAATACTTAAATTGCTGAAAACTAGGTGGAAAATGATTCACCGTATTAAAGTTTTTTCGTTCAAATTTCGCTTTAACATTTCTGTAAGATAAATCAAATGCACATTATAACAGGAAACTCGAAAATTTTTGTAATTTGATATCGAAAAGTGGAATTTAATTAAACCTTCTATTCCGAAATGCGGATTTTATTGGTTAGTGGAGGCAGAATTCACTTCTGATGGTCCCGACAGATGGCGTTCCGACATATATATCATACGACGATATTCGTCTCGACAGATGTCGCCACTAGCCACCTCTCCATCAAAATACTTATAATTTGTAGCTATTTGTATATTTAAAAACCTTCACGGGCCAGCAGTGAGCTGCGCTGTATCTTTGGAAGCGTTGACGTAATGATGGATAAGAATAAAGTAGGAATTTTTTCACAGAAATTATAGTTTTTAATGCTCTTGGAAGAAATATATGTTCATTCTGCCAACAATAAAATCAAATTTTTCAAAATTAAAATAACTTTAACAAAGGAATAAGTATTTCAGTTAATAACATGCATGAGATATTTCGTTGTTTAAGAAGGAAAATTATTCTTACTACTGTCGACAAGAGTTGCCTAGAAAAATAACAGACGAATACTTTTTTGCCTATTATATGTAAAATGTTAAAAAAAAAAAAAAAAAAAACCCTCTCTTTCGTATTTTGTAATGCATAGAATGTCGGTGAATTGTTTCCTTACTTTCCTTTGTTTATAGTAAAAGCTATGACACTTTTTTTTTTCATTCTGTGGGTCATAAATAAAATAATTTTAAGGCCAAGGAAACACGGTGACTATAATACTATAATTCACTTTAAATGAATACATTGAAATACAAACACACAGCAGACACAAAAAAGGAAGGAGGGAGAGAAGGACTTGAAGTCGTTAAATTTGTTTACAAAATATGAATTAAATAAATTAAGGGGAAAAAAAGCGTTAATTGCTGAGCAACGAATTCTGCTTTCACCTAAATGCCATATACTATGATGAACTTTCTTTTTCTCTTTGCAACTGTCTATCTTTTCTGAAAAACCTGACGTTATGAGTTACGTAAGAATGTATCCATTCTGACCAGCCAAGTAATTCTATGAAAACTACCAATAAACTCTATACAGAAAGTTAACTTGGGTAAAAAAAGGAACTTACAAAATAGCAGCAGAAGTCATTGCATGTAATGATTTCCTCCCCTCCCTGATTCACATTTATCTGCTCTTACTTTTCAACAAGACAAAACACAGTCTTTGAACAAGAACTAAAGGTTACATGATACTAATCTTGTGCTGCTCTCTAGTAGCCGACGCAAGAACTTTCATTTCTGAGTTTGGGAGTAAGTTTTAATGTCCAAATGAAACATGTAGAGAGAATATAGTATTAAAACTTGAGCAAATGTAAAAGAAACAAAGAAAAAAGAAAAGAAATTTTTAAAATAACAGAGTACAATGTTCTGAGATTTACGCCCGTTTGAAAAAGGGATATATTATAATGCAAGGGTAGCATTTTATATTTTTAATGAATCAATTTTTAAATGAGCATTGCTAGTTTCAACGAAAGAGACACTGCTTCAAGGAATCGAAATAATTATTCTCACATTTTATGGGGAAGGCAAATGACCAAATTTAAATTAAAATTCTAGGAGAAAAAAAAAAAAAAAAAAGAGCAAAAACGAAAAAGAAGGAAAAAAGAACAGCGTCATTTTGAAAAGATTTAATAAGTAAAATAATAATAACTAAAAAATTTTGGCTAAACGGACACTTTAAAGTAGGGAGAGGAATACTCGTGTATGTTGTTGACAAAAGGCTGCCTTACATATAACGCACCGTAAACACACAGAGTCCACTGTTTACGGCTCTTGATAATCAGCGCGCTAAATCGAAACTAAAGTTGATTCATACCCAAAAAATGAAACGAGGGTTGACACTGATTCTCGAATTATATTGAATTTCAAGGTTATGATCCTAAAGTATTTGCTAAATATTCTTTTGACCCTACAGGTACTTTCCCAAAATTGATTTTGCTTCATAATTTTGCAGTTAAATAGTCCTTCCAAAAGGAACCGTTAACGAACAGAACAACAGGATAAAAGTATACTTTTTAATTCAGAAGGGCTACGTTTCTCCCAAACTGATATACATTTTTACAAGACAGCAGAGAAATGATTAACAATTCTTAGACTCTTTAGTACGCAGTAGCGACTGATGTTGTAATTTAGGTAATTGAATGTTGTAACTTATGTAATTTTGATGTTGTAATTGATGTAATTGAAACGCTACTAGGCTTCTCGGTATAAAAAAGCGTATTTCTGTATACTCATTTGGAAATGTTCAATGGTATTTTGCAGAAAATAATTTATGTAATTCGAAAGTAATTTCTGATTATTGTCTGAGTACATGTAGATGGGCGGAAATTGACACATTCTTCTTTAGTGCAATACATGCGGCCAGTTTATGGACTAATTTGTAGCCTGATTCTAATCTGACAGTTAAGACTTTCCTTGCTGTGGTTACTTTGTATACTCGAAAGGTAAAACTGTATATAATCCATGAACAAAAAGTGCATGCTTGTACTTAATTTTATGGATTTAAATTGCACTTATTTTCAAAATCGAAAAAATATACGATTCAGAGCTTTCTTCCTATCTCATCAAAACAACTTTGTCGTAGCTGCATGCTTTGGGGTGATTTTTCAATTATAGTTGCCAATATTCTTCCAGCGTTTGCGTTTAAAAGCACCTTGTCAGAAAGAAGTTTCGAAGGGAGGCTGACTCGCTTAAAATAGTCAATATTATGAAGTTTTCATCCTAGCAAAAGTGAGACAGATGTAAAGCAATTTACTTTGCCATTTCGCTTAGCTTTTGCCAACATCGAAATGAGGGGAATGGAGGGGTATGAAATTCAAAGAAGTAGGAAACCAAACTTAGGATATTTTTGGCTGCAAAATACAGTCATCTTAAGCCTGCCCAGAGAATAGCAGGGGGATGTCGTCTTTATTTAGGACACAAAATATTGTCAGGCAGTTCATGACAGGTACGGTGAGTGACAGTACCGAAGAAAATGGGAGTAACTCTACACGCTTGTGGAAACACTTTTTATTAGCTAGAGGAAAGAACGACAAGCTTTCTCGAGAATGCTTAAATAATATCCAAGTCATTTGGATGAATTTTAATTTTTACGTTAAATTTTGCAATTTACAATTTCGCTTAATATACATATATATATATATATATATATATGTTGTATGATCTTAAATTCATTTAGTGCGAAATTTTAATGTGATCGCGGTAAATGTTGTCTTTCTGACGTTATTACGGAACTGCTAAAATACCGCCTATTTCTTTATTAAAACATGGAAAATGGTTAGCTTATTGTGATCAACAATTCGGTTAACAAGGTCAAAATATTATACATTACTCTTTTTTTAAACTGAAGTAAAGTTGCCATATAGGGTAAAAATAGATTATAAAATTTGTTATGTGAAAGAGAAATGTTGCCAAGTCATCAAACAGATCGGTTTCGAATTTAAGCAACCATTTTTTTTTTCTTGCTATGGCTAATAGATTATGTTTCTAAAATCAAACAAACAGTGTGTGGCTACTATTATTAAATCATTTTAAGCATTTAAAAAGGTATAAAGTTTGCCAAATATTCTTCCGGCACACTAAATGTACCTAAATCATAAATTAAAAGAAAGTTATACACATGTAAATCAGAAAGAAATATCACTGAATGACGTTACGTGAGGGATCAACCTTTTATTTTTTAACCGACCCTTTAAGGGAAGTCGAAAGATTGCAAAAGATACTAATTTTCCAAATTAAATATCTCGATCAATTTTTGCCGGACGGGAATCGAAAATCCTGCGAAACGAATTGTATTTTATATAATGAGCGTAATATTTTACTAAACATAACTGTAGAGACCGAGGAAAAAAGTGCAGATAATTAAAAGGCACTAAAGGAGAATATTAGCTAATGAAAATCCGTTTATTGAACTGGGGAAAAGAAAGATGTCTTCATTGAAATCCGCGCATGATTCAGAGTATCTAGCTTCAATATATTCGACTTCCAACTCAAACCGAAGAGGATCTGGTAGATTACGATATATAACTAATAGAGAAAATTATCATCTTCGGCGAATATTATTAAATGAGAGGTGTACTATTCTGCTGCAAACAGTAGTATATTTAAGGGGTGCAATATTACATGCAGTCTCAATTAAAAGGTTCCAGTAATTTTCCTTAATAGTTTACCTTCAAAGCTGGGTTTTCGTTTTAAAATAAACCAGCTTTAGAACAACGCAAACAGAAGCATCCACTTGATACAGAGTAGTATTTAGGGATGAATTTCGTTTCTGCTGGAGCCAAACGCCTGTAAACTACGAGTATAATGCTACTTTTGGGAAAACAATACTAATATTTGCGATTCTGACACAAAGACCTACTTTCGTAAAGTGGGGGGAGGGAGAGAAGGTTCCCAGCTATAGTTACCGTATTTCCTTTTCACTAA